ATTAAATTTATTTGAATTAATAATATATATTCTTTATAGTTTTAAATAATTTTCATTCTAATTTTTACTTTTTAGATTCAATCTGAATTGATCATACATATTTTATTTATAACTTTAAACATTTTTTCTCCTAAATATTCTTTTATTTTTTAATTTATATTTTATTCAAAGTTAATATACTTGTACAATATTACACAGTTACTTGCTATTTGAAATACTTGTATCTCTGTGGACATTGCGTACAATTGTGACTGAGAGAACTTTTTAACCGTTGATTCATTTAAAGTTTGAACTTTAGCTTTACTTTTAAAGTTGTGATTTACTCACTGTTAAAATAATTGTCTACCTATCTTCGTGAAATAAGCAGCAAACCAGTGAAGCTAACGAGGCATAGGGAGTACTAAATAGTGGTAGCTCAATTGGTGTATGAGAGCTGAATAAGTTAGGGTGAAAAAATGTGTTCGATCTTCCATAATATTACTTTCGAGAGAAATTAAAAATCTTAATCCTGAAATCGATTGCAATATTTAAAAAAAAAAAGGAGGAGGCACGGGGAGCATTCAACGTGCATAGTTTATACTTATTACATAGAGAGCATGTCAATATTAAGCATTGAATATTTCATCAGAACAAAGCGAGTGGAGCTTAAATTTATGGATGAGAAATATGAAACCATCATTTATTTAATAGTATCAACAAAAGTATACTTTGTTATTTATCAGCATGCAAAATATCCAGTAAATTGTACATAAATCACAACTACATGCAATGTGACGGAGACATAGAAATTGTGGTATGTTACGGTGTGGGAAATGAAACTTAAAGTCCAAGATATATGGGTAAAAAGTGGGTGGCCTACAATCATATCACCTCAAGCGCAGTGTGATTAAAGCCCCACTGTCTTTTGGCTCCTAAATATTCTAATCTCCATCCGTCCATTCTTCTCGCCGTTAAATGTTGAAGAAAGCGGAAGGACCAAAGCAAATAAAAACGACTGTTTTAATGAGAATTCAGAACATCATAAATGACAGTATGAAAAGAAACGAAATTATCGGGGTGGCTTCTATAAGACAACCAAACATGGCCATGTGGGACCTTCAGCTTCCCGTACACATATATCATGAATACTATGTATGACTTACCAACAATATATAGTAGAATACTCATGCTTAATCCTTTGACTTTGTGCTGACCACAACTTAGTACTAAATTAAGGGGCACACGCAAAATCGTTCAGGCCTTAATAATGGATTGTCATTATAACTTAAAAAGAAGTGCTTTCGATGAGTGAAATAAATTAGAGGATTATCTCCAACAAGTGCACACTATACTTTTGCTTCTTTATCTTTTTGTGCTTTTTTACTGTTTTTACAAAAAAGTGAATATTCGGTTAAGGAATAACGAACTTTAATTCTTTATCTCTAATCAAGATATTCATCCAAGCCTGCATGAAATGAAATAGCAAGGACGGCAAAAAAAAAAAAAAAAGTGTGAGAGAATAAACATACCTATCTCCATCGAGATTAGGAAGCTAAAGTTCAGTTCACAAGCAAGTAAAATTATGCATGATATTGTACTAAAAATAAAATAAAATTATACATTATAGTGGTTCATCAGCATATCTTGATCAAACACAGTTTCTTTCGTTTTATTAAACAATTGATCTTCATTTTGTACTCTCTTTTTTTTGGATATTATACATCGGACCATTTTCTATTCGAGCCGAATTAAATCACATAGTATCATTTCCTTTTTATTTCCACGTTTCATGTTAACAAGCTTAGTATTTTTATTTTTTTTGGAAATAACAAGCTTAGTACTTTGAAATCACACTTTTCTCCCATTGCTGTATTAACTTCAACTCATATAATTCTTTAATGGGTCCAACTTTTCTGCCACAAAAGGAATGAGTCCCACAAAAAATAAGCCTGTCAAAATATAAAAAAATTACATTATATATTATCGAAACATATAGTTTGGACAGATAAAAACTTCTGCCACAAAGCCAGAAATGTCTTTTCCTTCTTTAATTTATTGTTTTTATTTTATTTTGTTGCTGAAACACTCCGAAAAATAATTTAATTCATAATTAGACTTTTCACTTAACGTAACTCTCTAATTATATATTAATTCTGTAATTAATGCAATTTAATTATTAGATTATTATAGTTGCGTTTAAGTTGTGTTTGCTTGGCTTAAGTAAGTGATTCGCATAGTTAAAATTCAAATAAAAGTGTTTACCAAAAAAAAAATTCAAATAAAAGATTACATTATATGCTCCCTTAAATTACTTTTTTTGAAGGTTTTTTTTTTTTTTTGGTTTGTCTAGACTAATTTTTCTTTTTCTTAATTCCATTTTTTAGCCGTTAGAGTATCATTCTGTTAAAAAAAAAAGGTTGTTTATTACTTTCCCTTATTTTTACCATTGTTCCGTCCGGGGAATTTGGTGGACGAAGTAATTTTATATATTCCTCGAACCTCATTTACATTTGCACAGACAAAAATAAGTAGCAGCCAAACTAAAATAAATACGACAGATGGACAGATTGTCCCCTGGTCACGTCCTTTATATAATTTTCCCTTTATGCTTCGGTCATTATTCACGAGTGAAAAATTGTGACAAAAATAAAAGCAGTAAGAGTTTGGCATATGCACAATGTGAAAAATTTCTTTGATTTACCAAATTTGTTACGGCATTTTTCCAAATTAAAAAATTTGGGTTCCATTTGAATTCAAGCATATTTTCATATTTCTCTTTAAATTCAAAACTTTACTTTTTTATTAAAAAAAATATTTGGTACAATAATAATATCAAAGAAACTCTCCACAATATGGATACTGATAGGTGTTTTGTTCTCAGACATTACTAATAAAAAATGAAAGTATTGATTTTTTTATTATTATATTGATTCTCCTCCGACCCAAATTAATGTGATGTTGATGTTGATCATATTAATTATCTGAAAAGTTTAAGTTAAAATTCATTAAACTTTTCTAATAATTTTTTATCTCTTATTTATTTATATATTTATTATTTTGTCTTAAAGGTGATGGTTGACTGTGTTATGGTTATAGTAATTGATCAAGTTAGCATGTATTTGGACACGATTCATTATAATTTTCTTTTAAATGAAATTCATTTATTATATTATATTTTTAATGCAAATTTTGTGTAAAATTCCCATTTATAAAAGTTTAATCAGAATCAAAAACTTTTATTCTAAGAAGAAATCAAATCTCTTAATCTTATAAATTCAATAAAATCAATTTTGATAATTTGATTAGAGTTGAATCCTCTTTTAAATTTAGATTGCTTTAGGTTATTTTGGATTGCTCCAAGGGTGTTTTCCAGACAATAAAAGATTAATTTCCTCGAGACGGAGAAATCATCGAAATGAGTATAATCTCTATCAACAAAGTATTTTTTACATACACGACGAGAAATCGAATTCTAAAAGCATGCTTAAGTGACGTTTGAATTGGAAAATTTGGACATATGAATACCATTCTACCTATAATTTTTATTGTATTTTGTTTTCTCCATTATTTTTAAACTAGTGCAGTACCCGTGCGATGCACGGAGAAAAAAGATTAAAAAATCTGTCGGCGTCTATCATTGTCGTTGGTTAATCACTAAAAGAAAAAATCATGTCAATATTTTATGCAAATAAAAAATAGTTATGTACTCTATAATTGATTATTTTAAACTCTATTTTATGCAATCAATCTCTATGAATGCCGAACATTGTTGTTAAAGTGTGAGAATCGGAATTAGGAAATGGTCATTCCAAAAAAACCGCATTCAGATATTGGCTACTCAAGCTGGTTTATACGAAGAAAAATGGAAGCGGTTTTCCGTTTCGGGTTTATATGAAATCAGCACTCATGTGTGGCAATGGTTCCTCATAATTATCGCAAACCAAACCCCTCACACTTTTTTTATGAAATATTTCAATCGATTTATTATTTTGCAACTAATCCGATTCGGAGCCGGTCCAGAATTAAGACTTTAAACCCCTCTCGAAGGTGAAAAACCCTCACACTTTAGTTCTATGCTAGGTTCCACGAAAAAGACTCTACACATAGTAGATTAGCTTTCAGAATTTCAATAGTTAAGAATTTATAAAAAATAAAATTTGAACTGTAATTAATTTTGTATTCCTTGCATTGCATAACGTTCTAAATGCTAATGAATACCTTGTATGCAAGAATTATTTTATTTTTCCTTTTTGGTAATCATTCAGTTATGTGAACATATTATACCGCAGTTTGTGTCGATTGAAAATTGTATTTAAGTGTGTGATTGATTTGTTAGTAAGTAATAGAAAGTATCTCAAGGATATCTGAAATTTTATTATCCAATAAATTAAAAATAATATAATCTCTAACATTTTATTATTAACAAGTTACAAAATTTGTAATAAAAATACAAAAATGAACTTTACCACAAAAGGTAAAATTCATAAAGGAAAATAGTTTTCTCTATTTTACATGAGAAAATATTTTTATGCTACACTCACAATACATGAGTGGATCCCATCTTGATTTTTTTGTCTTCTCATCTTTTGTGGACCCCACTCATATATTGTGAGTATAATATGAGAAAATTTTCTCACGTAAAATGAGAAAAGTAATTCCCATTCATAAATATCATCAATTTTTTAGTCTTGCGACCCTCGCCCATTGATTTGATTGGGTCAAGAAAAGGAAATGTTTTATGAGGTGAGAGAAAAAAAAAAAAAAACCCTCATTTAGTGTTCATTCTATCACGGTTTCTCTTTTGGCTGTTTGACACCAATTACAGGTACAATACTCACTACATTAGAAGCTCGCAGCCACGTAGTGACTGTGAAACACTGGGAACAAATTAGGACTTATAAATTGGTCTACTCAGCAGGGTTTCACATTCAGGAAGAACAATTCTGAAAGACCCTTCTTTTCTTTTTCCTCTCCCCAAATTCTTCATTGTTTCTCTTCCTGCATTTCATTCTTCGGAGAATATGGATACTGTCTCGGTTTCCAAATTGCTGTTTGCAGTTTTTTGCTTTGCATTGTGGTTGGGTCCTCTTCAGCTGGTTCATTCTAGTGTTTCATATGATAGAAAGGCCATCGTCATCAATGGCCAAAGGAGAATCCTTTTCTCTGGTTCCATTCATTATCCCAGAAGTACCCCTGATGTAAGTTTCTTCTTCTTCTTCTTTATAATTTTTTCATGTTGAAGCTTACTCCTTTAAAGTAAAAAAACAAACTTTACATACTTCTCATGTTGTTTCTGATTTTCTTGAGAAATAGATGTGGGAAGATCTGATTTACAAGGCTAAAGCTGGAGGAATAGATGTAATTGAAACCTACGTCTTTTGGAATGTTCATGAGCCTTCTCCTGGCAATGTACTTCACCCACTCTCTCTCTCTCTCTTTCTTCTCTTATGCCCTGATTCTGTTTTTGCTTATTTTTCTTCTTTAATTTGAGCCTTATTCTCTTTTGTCTTCTGCATGCAATTCAATTCAGTACAACTTTGAAGGAAGATATGATCTTGTGAGATTCATGAAGACAATACAGAATGCAGGGCTATATGCTCATCTTCGCATTGGACCTTATGTCTGTGCAGAATGGAATTTCGGGTACCTTCCATCTCTCACTCTCCTCCTACTCTTTTTCTAATGAAGTATTCTATCATTTGATTTTTTATCTTTTTTTTTTTATACTATTTATGTTTTTTTTTCTAACTCGAGGATTTGGTCTTTTTGGGTCATGTTCAATTATCTAATGATTATATCTTGTAATGTGCAGAGGATTTCCTGTTTGGCTCAAGTATGTTCCTGGGATAAGCTTTAGAACAGACAATGAACCTTTCAAGGTTTCATTTTTCCTCCTCCAAAACCAATTTTTATTAAATAATTGGCTTTATATTGAATGACTAATTATAAAAAATCTGCGAAATTTCTTGTGTTTCTTTCAATTGAACTAATTTTATTGATGACCCATGAACGGTGTTGTAGAGAGCAATGCAAGGGTTCACTGAGATGATTGTGGGAATGATGAAGAGTGAACGTCTCTATGAATCCCAGGGTGGCCCTATCATACTTTCTCAGGTGAAAATATGGGGTCTTTCTTAGTTTTGTAATCTTCACTGCTAACTTGCTTTTTGTGTATTTAAAAACTATCATTTTTCACTAAATTTTTTAGGACTTGTTCTACAGCTGCTATAAGATAAATTGCCTTGATGGAAAGCCTCTAGTGGCTGTAAACTTCCCATTCTAGATCTAGCTAACTAGCTATAATAATAATTGTACATTCAAAATATGTTGTTTCAGATTGAGAATGAGTATGGGCCACAGAGTAAATTACTTGGAGCTGCTGGCCAAAATTATATGAACTGGGCTGCAAAAATGGCTGTTGAAACGGGAACTGGGGTCCCATGGGTGATGTGCAAGGAGGAGGATGCGCCAGATCCAGTGGTGAGGATTCTCACTCTTCCTCTTGAAAGTTGTGTAATATTACATGCTATACTCAGATCAGATGCACCATTAGCATGTGTTGGGTTTTTTTTCCTTTTGTTGTTCTATTACTGTTGTTATTATTATAATTATTTGTTTAAAAAAATTCAGTAGTGTAACATTGAAAAAAAAATCAAGCACCAACTGTTATAGCCATTTCCCCTCCAAGAACTTTGTGCATATTTCAGAATGTGGTTGATAAATTAATCTGTTTCTGTTTCCTGTTTTATGACAGATAAACACGTGCAATGGCTTTTATTGTGATAAATTTATTCCCAATAGACCCTATAAGCCTACAATGTGGACAGAGGCTTGGACCGGCTGGTAAGCATTTTTATCAATACTCTCAGAATTTGGAATTGAAGAAAGGAACTTGTGTAACATCCCCGTTTTGAGCCGGTTCAATTACCATACATATGATAAAACAGAAAACAGCGGAAGACTTAACTTATGAAAATACGAGCTAACTTTTTCTTTTTCTTTTTAAATTCTCATTCGTCGTAAACGAAAATCGGACAGAGTTTCCTCTATAAATCGGACAACTGGGGATTTTCCAATCCCCCTCAGAAGCATTTCCTGATAAACAGTTTATACAAATATAATCAAATGTCCATCCATGGGCGCATGCATAACTTGGCTCAGTGCCACTATATCTAACAGCATGCAATCCAACACGTAAACATATCTGAATACTACATCATCATATAACGTGCCTGAATACTCAAATGTACATGCATCAAACTGACAGACATGTACAAAACATATGCAGGCCATATACAAAATAAAGGATCAATGTCATGATCCATCAAAGGCGGAAATATAAAATGACATGAATATACTTCCAAAAAGTAGTAGCCTACAACCACTCAAAATCCGATCCGTCAACTGCCTCAGCCACGTGTCGCGTCCCTGCCTAGTGAGGACTCATCGGGAATCTGGGCACCTGAAAATATGTCCCCAACAAGGGGTGAGATTACAAATCTCAATAAGCTCCAAGTTTATAGAGAATTCTCCATACCCCTGGCTCACTCTTGCACGAAAGTCAGATACAGAGTATACGAATACAACATATAACAGATATTATAACAGAACAGAGCATTTATCCATATCATATCAGAGGTGTGCGCCGTCATTCCCAAGGGAGGACCCCAAGCGGAAATCAACGCACGTGTTCCCGAGGGAGGACCCCAAAGCGGAACCAGACATATCAGGGGCGTACACCATCAGTCCCGAGGGAGGACCCCAAAGCGGACATCCGGGTACTATACAATCAATGGCCAGAGATTGTTACAGAAATCATATTACAGAAGTCATATCAGAGCAAAACATATCATGTTATCAAATAACTCTATATGAATGCATCTATACAAAGCATCTAAATCACAGTCATACAGTCCAACCATAGTTCACTAACCATGGTGGAGCACTCAAGCAGGAAAAGACTCCTTAAACATAGAGCTTACCTCTTGAAGCTTTACCAATACGCTTACTTGTTGCACAAGTTACTTATATGTCTTCAAGAGATTCCGATCCTTTTTTGTCCCTAGGTACACCTAGAGCAAGAATCCACAAATCCAAAATCAATAAAATGTTATCATGCCTAGATTTTCCATAAGGCATACATTTTATCGCTTATCTTCCTTTCTTTATATTTTTGCCAATGTTATGCCAATACACAAGTCTAGACCTCTTTATAACCGTTGGGGTTCTTTACTTTAATCAACCATTCCCTTAGGAATTTTCAACATAAATCATGCTATTTTTCTTCAAAACTCATCACTTTTATACAATTTATTACAACACATTTTATTTAAAATAAAATGTACAAAATATATCCCTAAATACCCTATAGGTCGAATCCTATAAGGGGAATTTCCAAAGATCCATCTCTTTTACAATACATTTTCTTTACTTCCTTACAACTTGCAAACACCTAGGCATGCATCCACTAGGTTCCTATTTTGAGTTTAGACACCAAGTCCTTCACAACACATCAAGGCCGAAACATCAAGGTCTGTTTCCAAGGATTTTCTTTCCAATGTAATATTCTTACTAATTCATCCAAATTCTACTTACTTGAACACATAAAACCCCTCTTAAAGCATCAACTAAATTGGCACAATAAATCCTATTAACTCTATCAAAGGCCGAACATAGAGAGAAAAGACATGATTTTTCTCTAATTTTTTCACATACTTACAAAGCTTCTTTTCATTTCATACATCAAAATATCAACTATTCCTCATCAATACATATTTTAACACATCATGCTTTCCCACCCAAGGCATATACACAATTTTATAACTCAAATAATCAAAACAACATCATGTAAATAGAGGTTTGTTACCTCAAATCAACTACCCAAAGCCTAGAAGACCTACACCAAGAGAATCTCCATCAAAAACTTCATTTTGCCCTCTTGATGAATAGTGCACGAATTTGGGGGAGAGAATAACTCTTCACACACTCAACAAAAGCTCAAATTGATGGGTGGAATGGATTCATTGAGTGGTTTCCAATCAATTTCATGTGGTGGGTCTTTGGATTTGGTGGCATATTCAAGAAGAAATCAAAAAAAGAAATAAAGCCCTAAACCCCCCCTTCCACGATGAACTCCACGGTTTGCAAGAGAGAGAAAGGAGTTTAAGTTGTGTGAATAGTGATTCACTTGAATGACAAAGCTTTATAGCCACATGTGACTTTTTAACAGATGTTCTTCTTTCGCGTATTTTCACTTAAACTGACCCGGAACCAACTTAAAGCTAAAAACATATTTTTATTTTGCTAAAATCATTTACATTAATTTTTATTTTCTAAGGAACAATATTTATAATTCACAGTATGGTTTTTGCACCGTTTTTAACGAAATGCACTGTGAACCATTAACTGTACTTTATTTATTTCTGAAACTTAACACTTATAAACTTATCATTTTCTTGGACCTATATTGACTTGCTTGGCATATATTGGACTTTCTTATTCTTACTTCATCAATTATTTATTTCTGGACTCTACCGGTTGCTTAAACAACGGTACAAAATACCCGGTAGAAACACTATTCACGAGATTTTAACGGAAAGTGCCAGACTATACAATTTTTCATTCTGAACTCATATATGGAGTCAGAATTGTCAAATTATGTCTCTAAAATCATTTTTGCTTATTTAAGCTCTACCGGTTAATTCACAAGACTGCGAATTCTCTGACAGAACGCACTGTTCATAACATAGTCATGATTACAGTCAAAATACTCGAAATCACTCACTGAATCTAATTATGGCATTTAAATCCTTAAATTAAATCTCTAATTAAGATTTACCATATAGGGTCATTATAACTTGCATAACAATTCTGTCAAATATGAAGGTTTTCAGAATTTGGAAGTCCAATTCACGGAAGACCTGTTCAGGATTTGGCATTTGCAGTTGCCAAATTCATACAACAAGGGGGATCCTTTGTAAACTATTACATGGTTGGTGTTATACAGACTTAACAATTGAAAATTTGATAACAATGACACCCACTCTAGTAACTTGACTTGCACTTGTAGTATCATGGAGGAACCAATTTTGGCCGTACAGCCGGAGGCCCTTTCATCACTACCAGCTATGACTATGATGCTCCACTGGATGAATATGGTGAGAACTGAAAATTCTGTAATTTATGCAACTCCTGGCCATTCCAGTTCTTTGTCTTAGTTGCTTCTTATGCATGAATATTAACAATTTTAAGTTGAAACACTCACCATACTTGACTAGAGGTAACACATTATTTCTCAATACTTCCACTTCAAGATTTAGTTGTCTAGGCAGGATCGCCAGACTATATAACTGAGGACTTAAGTGACTGTTTTTGTTAAAAAAAAATGTCAGGTTTGATTAGGCAACCAAAGTATGGTCATCTAAAGGAGCTTCACAAGGCTATCAAGATGTGCGAGCGAGCTTTAGTTTCAACTGATCCTGTTGTTACTTCTTTAGGGAGCTTCCAACAGGTTTAACTCACTCTCAAAGTTTTTATTGCTTCCACTGTGCCATAAGTTTCTTTACTGACCCTAGGGGACATTTACCTTTTACCAGGCTCATGTATACTCTACAGAATCTGGAAACTGTGCTGCTTTTCTCTCAAATTATGATACAAAATCTGCTGTTAGAGTGATGTTCAATAATATGCACTATAACTTACCTCCGTGGTCCATCAGCATCCTCCCAGATTGTAGAAACATTGTTTTTAATACAGCAAAAGTATGTAACCAAAGTCTGGGATTTGAAATCATGATATTCCTTTGGTACTCAGATATCACAATCATGCTTCCTACACCTTCAATATCTCCATTTAATGAGATTCAACAATTTAAAATTTAGTAAAACCTCTGAATTTATGTTCTCCCACTTTTAGGTTGGAGTGCAAACATCCCAGATGCAAATGTTGCCAACAGATACTCAGATGTTCTCATGGGACAGTTTTGATGAAGATGTTTCTTCTCTGGATGACAGCTTTTCAATCACTGCTTCTGGTCTCTTGGAACAGATAAACGTAACACGGGATACAAGTGATTATCTTTGGTATATAGCTAGGTAAGCCTAATTTCCTAAGTTGCTTGGATTTGCTCCTTAAGTGATTTTGCCAATCTTACTGTTGAAATTGTTTATGCCTTTAGATTCTACCTAGTTAAAGAAAGAAAAGAGTCGTTCTTTATTTTCATTCTACCACACATTGACACTATGATAAGTATTGAGTCCTCATGAAAGCAATTTTCTTTGTACATTTTTCTAATACACGACAGATCACTTGCATCAATCATGAAAACAAAATGGTTGATATTTATAGATGCTGAATTCATTGAGTATGGAAGTGATGTAGCTATTATGTACATGTCTTAAGTCAGTCTTCCAGCTACCAGCTTAGATAGCATGACTTTTGGCATTTTGACAATCTCCCACAGGTTCCAGTTTTAAAATGAAAGAGATTTTGAAACCATTTTGGCTATACTAATTTATTTCATGTCAATGTGTCTACAGTGTTGATATAGGTTCATCCGAGTCCTTTCTCCGTGGAGGTGAACTCCCCACTCTCATTGTTCAGTCCACAGGCCATGCTGTGCATGTTTTTATCAATGGTCAACTTTCTGGTATGCAGTTTGCTTGCTTCTTTAGTAGATCTTATTCCCATCTGATTAGTAAAAGAAAACATGATATATATGATTAAAAACAGGTTCTGTCTATGGAACGAGGGAGAATAAGAGATTCACATATACTGGCAGGGTAAAACTTCATGCTGGAACAAACAGAATAGCTCTGCTCAGTGTTGCTGTTGGACTTCCAGTAAGTTTTGTTTCCCACCTTTTACTTTCCGAAATCGTACTGTGGTAAAAGTTGAATTTTTGCAAATTATGATTATTGTGCTCAAGCTCATTATACTATAATTCAAACCTTTCTAAGGTTCTGAAACCTAGTAACTGGTCACCTGGACCGAGGAGGAAATCCCACTATTTTAGGAGAGGGAGAGAGAGAGAAAGGGGGGGGGGGGGGTTACAACCACCAAGCCTTATATCACTTAGGTAGAGTCAGCTACACGTATTCGTGTCTCTACCACACTTAATGGCTTATTCTTTCTCGACTAATGACTAATATCATTCTTTTCTGTTTTGTGTCCTCAAAGAATATAGGAGGACATTTTGAGACATGGAACACAGGAATTCTAGGTCCAATTGTACTCCATGGACTTGACCAGGGAAAGTGGGACCTGTCTTGGCAGAGATGGACTTATAAGGTTGCTCAGTCTTTCTTTAGCTGCTTAAGTTGACTCAGTTTCAAAGAAAATTTTAATTAAGACATGCCTCTTCTTAAAACAGGTTGGGCTGAGAGGAGAGGCCATGAACCTTGCATCTCCAAATGGCATCTCTTCTGTTGAGTGGATGCAGTCATCATTAGCTATACAAAAGAAGCAACCACTGACATGGCACAAGGTAAAAATAAACAAAAAATGCGCTTAAGGTTTAGTGAAACAAAATCTGAGGCCCTAAAAATGATGAAATTGATCGGTAAACTTTGCAGACTTATTTCAATGCTCCTGAAGGAGATGAGCCGTTGGCATTGGACATGAGGGGAATGGGTAAAGGTCAAATATGGATTAATGGGTTGAGTATTGGAAGATACTGGACTGCACTGGCTACCGGTAACTGCAATAACTGCAGCTATGGCGGCTCATTCAGACCTTCAAAGTGTCAGGTTGGTTGTGGCCAACCAACCCAGCGATGGTAAGTATTGTTATTTGTTGACATTGTAGGTGATGCATGGTTCACTCAGGCTCAAAATACCTTATTTTGTTTGGTACTAAATTTTTCAGGTACCATGTACCTCGATCTTGGTTGAAGCCAAATCATAATCTGTTAGTTGTTTTCGAGGAACTTGGGGGAGATCCTTCAAGAATTTCACTTGTGAAGAGATCAGTGAGAAGTGTCTGTGCTATTGTATCAGAATACCATCCAAATATTAAGAATTGGCAGATTGAGAGCTACGGGAAATCAGAAGAGTTCCATCCTCCAAAAGTTCACTTGCGTTGTAGTCCTGGCTATGCTATCTCTTCCATTAAATTTGCAAGCTTTGGAACTCCTTCAGGGACCTGTGGGAATTATGAGCTCGGAGCTTGTCATTCTCCCGCATCCTATGCCATTTTAGAGAAGGTACTCTACTATATTCTTGGTTTCACAATCCAACACATTAACATGTAACAGAGTTTTTCTTTGGAAGATAATATAGCTTATGCTCTTTTTGTCTTTTTCTTTTTTTCACAGAAATGCATAGGAAAGCCAAGATGCTTAGTCACTGTATCAAACAGCATCTTTGGACAAGATCCTTGTCCGAATGTGATGAAGTGGTTATCAGTTCAAGCTGTTTGTTCTCCAACTGCTACCAATTGGAGGGGTTGATTGGTTAACCAGTGACTTAACAAGTAAAGAAAAGAATAATAAGAGGAGTATAGTTTTATTTAAATGCCATAGTTTCTTTTTAGGGAGAAAGTAGTAGCTCTGTTCTGATACTTTTGTGCCGAAGGCACTTGGTTTTTTTACTTTTAAGTACTGGTGTTGTGTTAACGGGCTTGTATAAATTAATCATTGCTGGGTAGGTAAATCTGAAATGAAACCAGGGGTCTAAAATTTGGACCCTTGTGTGTGTGTGTGTGTGAGAATTTGGAGTCATAGTTCCCGGCCTTCTAAGTTTTAACTGGATACGGGCACTGGGAAGAGAGGCAATTTCTTTGGTGTGATATGTGTTTTCGTTTTGTTTTAACTTAATGGGGGTAAATTAAACTCCAAATCAGGTTCAAGTTGGGAGCGGATCCTACTGTAACCATTCTCTGATTTAAGTTCACTTTTCTGAGCACTTTGCCTACTCTACTATATTCTTTCTTTCTTTCTTTCCCTTCGTATCCAGCAATGACCGTGCATCATAAATGGAGTACTGTATCCTATAAATTTAATTTACTTCACTCAATGCCATTCGTCTCTGGGAAATGGTTTTAGGTGCAACTCATTATTTGGGGGGTTTGCTTTTTAAATAAGAAGCTATTTTAAATTAATCAACCAGAATTTTTCTAATGTTTTTTTAATTTTCCTTACTTAATAGAATTTGAGGAAAATTAATCAAATCACAATTTTATGTTAAAAAACAATTTAAAAACATTTTGTTTAACTCTCGGTTTTCATATTTATTTTATGGGTTTGTTTTTTCTAAAATTACTTTAGATAACTTTATCTAATGTTCACCGAAACGACATCGTTTTGGGACGGAAATCATGGTGTTTTTGTAATTTAATTTATTTCACGGTTATAATAGTCTTTATCATTTTAATTTTTTAATTTTCAACCCAAAACGACATCGTTTCGATGAACATTAAACAAAGTTGTCTAAAGTAACATTAGATATTTCTTCCCCTTATTTTATTAATTCATTTTTTCTGCAATAAATACAGATAAGTTTCATACCAAAAATAAAATAAAAAATACAGATAAATTATTTGCATTGGGTACAAATTTAGGGATGACTTTAGTTTTTGGCTTTTTTTTGTGGCTTATGTTTTTTTTTTTAAAGCAGATATCCAAACGCACTTTGTAATAGAAATACATTTTATTTTAAAAAAAAAATAGCTTTTGGATGTAAAAAAAATTCATCGAAAAGGACCCTAACGAAAAATACACATCATTCCCTCTTTTCTTTTCTGTCAAATCGCTCATAACCACTACCCACGTTCCATGAAATTAATGTGCACCAATCTTGTAAAGAGTATTGAATTCTTCGGTGCATCGAGAATGTTTTCCTTTTTTATTGTTTTTAATCAAAGTGAAGACAGTCAAACTAAAGCGTTAAATTATTCCAACTCAATAATATTATTTTAAATAACAGGTACATCGATAGATCACATGGATCGATGTATCGATTTATGACAAGCATTGATTCAATCCAGACGTTTCTCAAATTTTATATCAAATTTTTAAATAAATAATTTATTAACATTATTTATTCATTTACTAATTAAATTTAGAAAAATATATAATTTTAATAAATGAATATATATATATATATATATATATATATGATAAGATCATTTACACCGGTATCAAATAAAAAGTTGTTTGACATCTCATTTGAGAACATTTAGATCAAGACTAATCAACGATGTCACATGCTAATTGTTAGATCAAGAAAAGATCAACGATTCTCATATGAGATGTCAAATGATCTTGTTCATATATATGTGTGTGTAAATATATTGAGGGAGGGAGAAATCAAATATTTGTGGATTATAAGTATTTCAATTTTTTGATTAAGTATTGACACTCAACAACTTAGTCATTAATGTTTATTTTGTTGGTTAGGAATTTTAATTATTATTCATTATGAATTTAGTAATTACTGGCTAATTTATTAGTTACTTGATTTTTAGAGTTTTGTTAGTTAATTAGTTACTAATTAATGTTTAAGTTGTTACTTAGTAATTTACATTACTTTATTAATTTATTTAGTTTTATATATCAACTGGTGTTTCAGTGACGGACCCATAAATTTTTTTTTATGTCTGCACACTCAAGGCGGGAGTTCGGGGGTGCCGCCCTCGTTTTTTTTTAAAGATCATAATCATGATCCAATTTGTAAAATATAGTATAATTGTTGGGGTTAATCAATCAAAAACTCACCTTTGTCGATGTCTATTTGATCCAAAGCTGACCAGTTTTGTTTCATAAAAAAAGTGAAAAATCTCATGTGATTCTCCTCCACTCTTTACTTTTTTTCTTTTAATCTTTCTATTTTTTTTACTTGACTAGAATCACACATCCTATGTAAAAATTTTTCCCTCAACTTTATGTCTGCAAGTGCAGACAATGGCAACCACCTAGGTCCGCCATTATGATGTTTGAATTTCTAATGGACTCAGCTAATTTGTTTTCTGATTTGAGTCTTTCTAGCCTCGAGTTGCGATTCTCAAGAATTGAACTTACTACCCTTTTAGGCATGTCAAATCTTAAGATCTAATTATAAAGCCACTAGATCAACAACTCCTCGGTATTTTAGTGTTTTTTTTTATAATTTTATTAAGGGAATAACATCTATCCTTTTAAAGGATATCAACTTTTTCCTTTTAGATCATAACCGTTGATTTCCGTCCATCAACAGTTATAATTTATTGGATAAAAATTATTAATTAATTAATAATGAATTTGGCCAATTAAGTTTGGCCCAATAGATTATAACCGTTGATGGACGGAAATCAACAGTTAGGATCTAAAAGGATATAAACTTATATCCTTTAAAAGGATAAATATTTTTCCCTTTTATTAAATATTATTAACTATTATTGACTAAATAATTAACTATTATTCTGAGCAATTGAACTCACTACCCTTTTACTATATAGCGATATGAAATCTACTCGGAGTTATCCGCCGCATTTTGCTCCACATTTTATTAATCATGTTCCTTTGGATTCATCATGGCTGACATAATGTTAGTGTTTTTTTATATAATATTATTAACTATTGTTGAGTAAATAATTAACTATTATTCTCAGGAATTGAATTCACTACTTTTTTACTAAATAGGGATATGAAATCTCCCCCAAGTTCTCCGCCGCATTTTACTCCACATTTTATTAATCTTGTTCCCTTGGATCCATCATGGCTGACGTAATGTTAGTATTTTTTTTTTATAATTTTATTAAATATTATTAACTATTGTTTAGTAAATAATTTACTATTATTCTCAGGAATTGAATTCACTACCCTTTTACTAAATAGCGATATGAAATCTCTCTCGGGTTCTCCGTCGCATTTTACTCCATATTTTATTAATCATGTTCCTTTGGATCCATCATGTCTGACGTAATGTTAGAGTTTTTTATAATATTATTAACTATTGTTGACTAAATAATTAACTATTATTCTCAGGAATTGAACTCACTACCTTTTTACTAAATAGCGATGTGAAACCTCTCCCGAGTTCTCCGCGGCATTTTCCTCCACATTTTATTAATAACGTTCCTTTGGATCCATCATGGCTAGCGTAGTATAAGGGTCCCTAACACAAAAATGTATAATATAAATATTAACATTATTAAAAAATAAAATATTTTTCCACCAAAATAAAATAAATTGATTTTTTAAACCAATAATGCACAATTAATCAATATAAGTGTTTAAGTTGTACCTAGTATGCTTGAGCGTATAAAAAAATAAAAAATACGGATAAAGTTATTTTGGGATGGAAATTTATATGTTTTTGTAATTATAATTTTTTCTAAGGTTATAATAGTTTTTATTATTATAACTTTTTTAATCTTTTCACCTAAAGCGACGTCATTTTGAAAGTAAATGTAGATAATTTATCTGCATCCACTATATAAATATTAAAGCTTTATTTTAAACGAAAGAAAGAAAAATAATTTATACCCGTAACTACCATTAGTTCGATTTTTTTTAATTCTTTTGAAGTCCCTTTTTTTTTTATCTAAATATAAAAATATGGAGAAAAAGTTTGTCCTTTAAAAGAAAACAAAGTTGTGTGTTCTTTTAGTGATTAACACTATGTACTAGGGGTAGCACATAATTATAATATAAAATATGTCGATTAATCGGTATATTTTTTATCAAATATGAAAAAAAGTTACATATTTATATTATCTTTATTTTTATGATTATTTCTTTCCATATTTTTATTTTGGGTAGGGGAATACCTACTTCCATTGTATCAAAAAATCTACTCAGGTAAGTGATACCGTATATAATCCATATTTTCTTTAATATTAGAGTTACTTGCGTATGATTTTTATCCTATCTATGATTTATTAATTTATTTGGGGGCAATTAATTAATATACTCTGCATTTGTTTTATTTTCAACATATAAGTACGAAAAATCAAGAGAAAGTTTATGTTAAGACGAAAATTTTGGACGCTTAATCTAAGATTTTATCAAATATTTTAAAAAATTAATTATCAATTTATTATTATTAACAATAAATTTTGACATTTTTTAATTGAAGAAGATTATATTTACAACCTCTTTTTCGTTACAACTATTTTTATGGTTATTGGATCAAAATCAAATCAATGATTACAAAATGACATTAAATAGTAGCTATTAGTTTGATTTTGATCCAATATAATATTTTCCTTTTTAATTTGAAGGAATGCTGAATAATACCTTACACAAATGAGAATTATTATTTGATTCCATAAATTTAATACTAATTTCTAAAATAATAATAATTATATTTAGGGATAAGTTATTCTACCTACCTATTTTTCTGCCTCCCTTTATATTCTACTTTCCAACACTATTAAATCATAATCTCAATTAGAATAATATATCCCTTATATTTATGAGATCTATTAATCTCATGTTGTATAAGATAATTATCTCATGCAATAGAGATAAAATTATGAGGTCCACTACTTTTTCAAAAAATAAAATAAAAAATAAAATAGTGGACTTCAATATTTTGTCTCTGTTGCATAAGATGAGATAAATTTTTTTCTATATTTATTATCTTAATTATTATATATTAATTATTATTTATTATACTGCTTAATATTTAGGAAAGAATACGAGCGAGATAAAGAGTGGAATTTGGGACGGTCTCCCTGACACATCTAGGAAGTCCTCTGCCCTGACAACATCCTGGCATTCCCGTTTGATGCCCAACACGACTAGTCGCAACAAATCGGTCAATAGTTTTCATCTGGATAACTTTTTGTTCTTTTTTTTTTTTTATACATATCTAGGTAAGAAACCCCTCAATGTTGGAATAGTCAACAAAGTATCATTTTTTTCACAAAAATTTTATTCAAATAATGAACAATATTTTTTACCAAACTGTCACGTGTCATAATTCGTTATCACTGGTAGTGAATTTCGTGACCAATGACTTTGTGACACGTGACCATATTGCAGACCAATTCTCTACCACTCGTAGCGAATTATGACACGTCAATTTTTTTCTGCGAAAGTGTGCCACGTGTCATAAAATCATTGACGAACGTAATTTGTTACGAGTCGTAGCGAATTACGCCTACGTGAGAGTCTGCTAAAAAGTATTGTTCGTGTGATATTTGGATAAAATTTTTGTCAAAAAATGACATTTTGATCAATGTTCCCTCAATGCCCAAACATGAGTCCGAAACACTCCCAAAGAATAAGCAAATATCAGACCAATATAATTCCCATAAGGAAACAAGAAAGTCAAATGTACTTAGGAATTCATAATATAACATCATCCACAATTATTTAAAACGGAAGAAAGTACCAACTACTCTAGATATAGATGATAGGGGTCATCATCATCCATATAAAGCTAGCTGTATGTTGCACTAACAGAAATACCTTAAAAGTGTCACAGTGCAAGATTATAAAAATAAAGACGACAGCAACATCTTATGTCCAAGCATGGCACTCTGAAGGTGAAAGTAATTAGGACTAATTAAGAGCAGCACAAAGATTAAGCCTTAGCTGTAGCCATATGTTTCTCTAAGGTCTGCTGCAGATCTTCCTTCTTCGCTCCCACCACTTTGTCTATAATCGTTCCCTCTTTCAGAAACACAAAAGTAGGCATAGCTTCCACAGCCCAATCTTGAGCCACAGACTGCAATTAGCCAATTATTTATGATTAGTCTAAAAAAAAATTCTGTGCGTTTTTGGGTAGAGGGATTATGCAAATCAGAAATTTTTTTACCTTCAATTCGTCCACATCCACCTTTAGAAATATAACATTTGTAAACTTCCTAGCCAGATCAGCCAGGAATGGTGCAACGAAACGGCATGGTCCACACCAAGAAGCAGTAAAATCCACAACAATCTGGCACAATTAGAAAGGTAAATATATAATTTCTGATCACCAATGAAAGATAAATTCAAATAATATATACTCGACTGAACTTCATGCAAAATTTACTTCCAAGTTTGACCATATATACTGACACAACCAGAAAGTTGTTTTGCATCACGGAGACCAAAAAATAAAAATCTTGCAGTTTTTGCTTGTATGAAAAAATGCTTAAGTGAAAAAAAACATGTTCTAAATTTTAAAGATGGATTGGATAAAAATCAGGTTCGAGATTATCATTTAAATGTTGTATCACATTTAATTAGTTATATCATTATATGACATTGTCAGTTACAAATGCAAATGATTACCATAAGTAGTAATGCAGATACAACTCATGCATGCAGTGAAAAGATAAGCATTGTATAATTATGTCACCAGTTCCAGACTTGATAAAATCATTGAAGATGGCATTAGCCAGATTCCTGCAAACAAATAAATCAAACAAATATCCTGGTAATGACCATACCGAGCTATTGGAATATTAAATATCAGCCAAGTAAGAATGAACTGAAAATAGGAATATTTAGTTTAATTACGTTTCAATGAAGCTATGAATTATGATAGTTTAGAAAAATCGGGATATAAGTATAATTTGATGAATCTCTGACCCTTTTATTTGCAGTTTGCACAAAATTTAGATATGATAAAACATGTAAAAGTTTTAATTGAAAGGTCCAGGAGCAAAGATGCAACTACAGACAGAAAAAAGGATGCATTCCACATCTAGTACTCTAATTACAAACATCAGATATCTTCCCTGACAAGCAACATCATCACATACCAAAAATGATAAAATTCATTATGAACTACAGTGCAGCACAACCACCCTCAACAATGAGTAGTACTCTATGCACTTTGCACACCAGATCTACAGTTATCGCATGCACTATTTATCATTAAGTGTCACATTACTCATTATTCATGCAAATATAATATTTTTTTATTAGCTAACTACCTTCAAAGGATTTCCTTCTGGAATTAATTGCACAATTGTAGATTGCTTCATAAACAGTCAACCCATTTAACCTAACAATCTATCATCACCCTTCTCTTTCGTATTCTTTCTTGATTAAGCCAAACCAATCTGGTAAGCCATTAACAACTATTTTGGTTGCAGATCACGAACCCACTCCTCATTAGAGTTCTTTATAGATCAAAAACAGAAGTTATTTGTGAACTTTTTGACTTTAATTTATAACATTCAGATTTGCGTTTTGTTTCCTCTCCTTTTATTGGTTAATATTAGATATATGGGCATTCCTCACTGATCATATAATTTATGGCCTATTACAGATCTTGCAAAAAGTGGGCAGGAGGGCGTTTGGGGTCTAAAAGCAGTGTGATACTGTGATTGCTTTGAAAGATTAATTATAAAAACCAAAACAAAATGCTACATAGTATACAACTATGATATGCTGGACTAGGAATTCGGTCCTTTATTGAGTGAATCTTATAACTATGTTTACAGTTACATGGTCTATGAAAATTGTCATAAAAGCAGGCTAAATAAATAGTTTCATATGGTATTGTTTATTATAAGATGTGTCACGGATGAGTCCTTGGCCTCCCCTAAAGCGCATGCCTCGTTTATTAATTTAAGAGTAAAGTAACCTCACTAAATATTACGGGCCTAATTTAATCTCTTAGAAGAAAAAAAATTAACTTGTAATTCTTCAAAAATTCAAAATAGACTCGTGTTAATTCTTTTGAAGGACTAACGTAGATTTTCTTTGAATTTCAGAAAAATCACACGTTGTCTTTTATTTTAAGGGATTAAAATGCTCCATAATTTTTATTGAGTACTAAAAGTTACTTTACTCTTGATTTAATGCCCAACATCCAATCCCCAAAATCCGTACTCCATCACCAACCAACCATGATATGGCCTAATCTATGGCCTTCTTACCACACACATAACCACCTATATAGGATAACCTCACGCACATATGCAAAGGATCTGACACAACTAAGAAGTAAGAACACAAACTATAGAAACTCATTCACAACCCCACTTCCTCATGGACCAATCACCATACTTGTCATCCACCACGGCACTTGTCTTTCCATACCAGGACCCTTAGGCTGTCATACAAAGCAATAGTCAACCAGTTGCACATCTTCTGGATCATCACACTCGATGCCAAGATCAATATGTGATTTTCACAAAAGTAGGCTATATAAGTAGTTTCATATGATACCAAATGATGGTAGGTCAGTTGGCGCTAAGAAACTGAATAAGTAAGGATTAGAGCATGTGTTTGATCCTCTCCAATATCATTTTTAGAGGAATTTGAAGTCTTAATCTTGGTAACCGCTCTGAATCAGACTAATCTAAAAGCGATGAATAGATTGAAATATCTCAAAAAAAAAAAAAAAAAATTATAATTCCATATGACCTCGTATATTATAAGATTTATACTGAGTATTGAAAAATAAGATGACGATTCATCTCTGTCTAAATTCTCTTCAATCTCTCTCCTCCTTGTCTTCTTTGGTTCCAGAGAAGTATTCTTCCTAGAAGGATACATATCATCATCACAAATTAAAAATGAGCACTTTTTATTAAAAAAAAAAAAACCCAGGATCAAGTTTGAGAACCATGGCCGCATGATAACAATAATCAAGTCAAGGACCGACCTAATCCATTGATAAACTTTGTAACATTATATCTTGTAAAGCCAGATACCCAGATGCATCATGTCAGATAATAACAAACCAAAACAAAGGGTACTCATTATTTAAAACCATGCCACAGTCACAGAAAACCCAAATGGAAGCCATAAAAATGAGATCTATATTTTGAAGAGAAATTTTAACAAACAAACGAAAAATTACTGAGGTGATACGTACCAGTTTCTTGGATTCATTACCCTTGTTGAGGTGGTCGGTCCATGCCTCAACGGTGTGGCAGCTGATGACTTGTCCCTCTTCTGAAGCACTTGCCATTTCCAAATCCTTAATCTCTCAGAAGAATTCTTTGTTTCAAATTGTAATATCAAAGGAAAGAAGATACCATATAGCCATAACTGCTGCTCTGTCACTGCTTTATATAAGCAGGACAGGTACGAACCCTAGTTGAAAATGGGCTCGCTTTCGTCAATTTTTTACGAATTTGCCATCAACCATGATCATCGCGGAGATTCCCATGCATTTTTTTTTTAGCTGCATGCAAATTTTTTTGAATTGCCCAATTAATATATTATTTATTAATCCTTCTGAATTTGGAATTAAGTACAAATTTAGTCAAAACGATGAATTCCATTCATTCAACATAAAATACTTTCTGTTTAAAAGTTTATGTAATACGATATAATTTATTTTATTTCGGAAAAGTATTTCTTATTTTAAGTGGTATAACTTTTGTCTACAAAAAAAAATGGTATAATTTTAAGTTTCATTTTTCTACCCTCAATGTAGATAATTTATTTACATTAAGTTCAAAACGACCTTGTTTTGAGGCAGCAATCAAGATATTTTTGTAATTATAATTTATTTTAGAGTTATAATAGTATTTTTCATTATAATTTTTTATTTTTTCAACCCAAAATAACGTCATTTTGGGAGTAAATGTAGATAACTCATCTACATTTATCGTAGAAATATTACAGCCATAATTTTATGCCACTTTAGCAAATGTGTCTTGGTGCATCTTTATTGATTTTTTATATTCTCTTTCTACCAATACCAATAAAAATGATACAAAATTATATCCTTTAAAATAATAATTTTTTTTTTTTCATTTCGAAAAAATATTTATCATTTCTTTTTTAGGATATAATTTATGTCTTTTTAAGTGAAATGACCGTGTTTTAATACAATAGCGGACCTAGAAATTTTTTTTAATGTCTGCACATTTAGAATAAAAGAATAAAGGAAAAAATTTAAAGAAAATTTTAAATATATTAAAATACAAAAGAATATAAAAAAAAGTAATGAAGAGTCGACTAAACTGTTACCATAAAATATTTTGGGTCCTCAATCAAAATCATGGTCATCAGAAATTCAAAAAGATCCACATTAATTCCTCAAAAGAACTAACATGGGTCTATTTTGGAATTTAAAGGGATCACGAGTCAACTTTTTTTTAAGAGATTAAATTAGATCCTGTAATTTTTGTTGATGACCCAAAATATATTTTATACTTTTTTTTCCCAAAAAAATTTGTGTGTGCACTTGCACACACTTGCAATTACACAGGTCCGCCATTGTTTTAATATATATATTTATTATTTTTTTACATTCTTTCTCATTCACAAAATTATGAGGAGAGAGAAATAAAGAGTATTGTGGAGAAAAGCACTGTCGTAAAACCCGACTCGACTCGAAACTCGGCAAACCGGTTATCGGACCGGTTCGGGTCAAGCATTGGACCAGTCATGCATTGGAGGTGGCCAAACCCGGTCAAAACCGGTGACCCAGTCGGGTAATACATTTAAAAAAAAAATTAAAATACCAAAATTGTTTCATCTTGTGAGGAAATAATGTAGAACTCAATTTAAAAACTTTTTGTAATTTTATTTGCTAGTATACTCTTCTACAATAATCTCAAATTTCAACTTCCAATACTGAAGCAATCTGTGGAATAATAAATTAAGAGAATGTGACATATGTCATTTTAATGTAGATGAATTTGAAAAATATGAATTCAATGTCATTGAGAGGTATGTTTATGAGAATTCTGAGTAGCAATTTAAATTGACATAGTAATAGTGTGCATTTTCATTTATTTATGCTTCATGTTTTTGAGCTTATTTAGTGAATCTTATTTAATTCATTTTAGATATGGAGAATATAATTAAATTTATATGTTTATGTTTATATATCTATATATATCTGAGTCAACCGGTCTGATCAGTGACCCAGTACCCTGACCAGGTCGATGCCCGGGTCGGGTTTAATAACACCGGAGAAAAGAGAAGGTAAGAAATTAACAAGCATGTGCTTCAATACCAAAACACAATTATTTCTCTTAAAACGGCACGAAGTTGTCTCAATTAAAATGACAAATAATTTTTTTTCTTTTAATTTAATTTTTCATTACAAGGGAAAATGGGTCTCGATAATAAGATGTAATACCAGCCTATTTATTTGATATAAATCTTTTGTTTATATTTTTTAACTAAATAAGTTTTACAAAAGTTTTGACTCAATTTTTTTAATATACTGATCTAGTGGAGTTAGATCAAATGAAAATGAGTTCACAGGTCTTTAATATGTCTTTTGATCTATTTTCACCCTTATTTCCGATTCTCATATCTTAATGCATAGTCTATACAATTGATAATTAGGTCACACCTATAAGAACAAAGAGATAGATCCTCTCATGTTAATTTCTATATGCCAAAAGTTTTATATCTATTTTCTCTTTTTATTTACATTAAATAACTAGAATCCTATCAAAATTTATAAGCATTTATAAAAGTATGTTACTACAGAAATTTTATTTTGCAGCAATAGTTATAAATATATATTTTCAGGAATATATAGTTATAATCGAAAAATTATTTTTTTCTTTCTCTCCGTAACAATAGATAATTTATGAAGGAAGAGAACATAAGCCAGGGTCAAGGCACCATCGAACTCCAATATGGCTCTGCCATTGAAACCATATGGGGTTTATATATGACACGAATATTTTTTTGGAAAAAATGTGTATTATTTTAAAGAATATAAAGTTGTGTCATTTTACGTGAGAAAAAAAAATAGATAAAGGAGGAGAGAAAGTGGACAACAATATAAAGATGTGAGTCTCATCTCTTTATGAGAGTGAATTGACATAAATTGTGTTATTTAAAAGAACAAATATTTTTTCCTAACTCTTTTCTCTAAAGACAAAACACTGAAAAAGTAGATGGTCCCACCGAATCACAGCCAAATAAGGGGCTTATTTTTGCTAGCATATCAGACAAGGTCCATGTTGTTAACCGAATAGATTCGGGTTACGAAGAAAACAATTTAAGTGATAAAGGTAGCGCGGATGGAAAAGATATGCGGGTGCCCTATAAGAAATTCAATTGGTCCTCTTTTTTTTACGAGACAATGTATCACTAAAGCCCAATCTCATCCGCACCCAAAAAGAAAATATTTTTGTCCATTCGTCTTTTCGGGAGCGTTTGGTTAAGAATTTTTTTTTGGAATAGTAGGGAAATGTAATAGATAGAGAAATGATTGAAAAGTGAGATACGTAGAAAAATATAAAAAAAAATTATTTGGTGAGAAAAAACTTTACTGAGAAAATTAGATAACTTTATGAAATCAACATTGCATTAAAAGTGAGATAACCAATTTTCCAAAAAATTCCACCTTCAAATTGGGTTTCTAAACAGTGCAGATATCTATGTTTCTCATAAATCCATACAAATTGCATAGATGGATTTTTGGTGAAAATATGTTGAAACAAACATGGTGTTTCTAAAAGCCATACTTGAGAAACATAGATATCTCTTGAAAAGCTCCAAACCAAACACCACCTTAGTTCTACGCTGTTTAATACACGAATTTCGCTCGGATAAAAGTATTTTATTTAAGAGTTGTTTGAGCACAACTTGTACTGAATACCCATGTTTAGTAACGTAATGTATTCTAGTAACAAGGAGAATAATTCCAACTTTTACTTTTGGCCATCCTTTTTTGAGATCTTCATTGTTTGACACCCGAATATTACTCGTACCAAAACGAATATCTTTTTTCAAGAGTTGACCATACACAAATTGTTCGCAAGAATAAACCCCACTCCCCCCCTAGGGCCGGCAAAATGGGCTGAGCCCGCCGGGCTGGCCCGCCCCGCCTGCCAAATGGGGCGGGCTGGGTTGAGTCTTTCAACCCACCAGCCCGCCAAACCCGCCCCGCCAAACCCGCCAGCCCATATGGGTCAGCCCGCCACGGGGCGGGCTAGCCCGCCAAGTCATTTTTTTTTTTTTTTTAGGTTACCCAATTGTTATGTAGCTCCGTATCTTAGATTTCTCTGCTTGCAAGTGGCTTTTTTGAATTGTTGTGGACTGCTCATACAACACTTTGTTACTTGTTTTGTTATTCTATTTTATCCTGATATGATTTTATTTTTTTATTATTATTTTTGGATTGAAAGATGCATATTTATATGCAGATTATTAAACACTGATCTTCTTGGTTTCATAAGCACATTAGGATTTTATACAGATTTTTGTATGCTTTTATGCAGATTTTTTTATGTGATTTTATGCAGAATTTAATTTTTTGTATTTAATTTTTTTATTTTTTTTATTTTAGGCGGGCTGGCCCGTAGCCCGCCAGCCCACTCATAAAACGGGCCGGGTTACTCAATTCAACCCATTTTGTCAAAACGGGCCGGGACGGGCCAGCCCATTTTTGGCGGGCTAGTGGCGGGCCGGGGCGGGCCGGGGCGGGCTGGCCCATATTGCCAGCCCTACCCCCCCCTCTCTTCTGGCCCACATATAGCTTTTAAAATAAAACTTAATAAACAAAATACAAGAATAGTAGTATATGACACATGTCGCGTTCTTTGCAACTTACATATCGCTTTTAAAAGAAAATTTAATAAAAGAATGCAATATTTGACATACGCTTGTGTTCTTTGCAACGGGTTGTTAATGCAATTGTGAAAGATGAATAATAAAACTATACAAAAAAAAGAAGATGAATAATAATAAAAAAATGTAAAAATTGCTAAGCTAGAAGACAAAGATGATGTCCTAGATGTGGCATCAAAGATGTGCTTAGTCTCGTATGCCTGTGAGATGGTGGTGAAGAATTTGTACCTTTTACGCGACTGATCTTCTGCACTCTGCTTTTTCTTGCTCCTGTAATTCAAAATAACTTAAAAATCAAAGTAGCTATATTCAGGACTAAATGAAATAGCAGCTCCCCTCCTATCTCCAAAGGCAAAACACAGTATGTGAAGGGCCAATCAAAATCCATGTATACCAACCGCGATTTGTTAGAGAGGTCACACAGACAGTCTGGGCGTCAATAAGAAACGGGACATGAAGGTGCTACATGCCCCATTATCTAACAAATTGATACCTCATGTATAAGAACTAAGAAGTCCTATAGAAGCAACGTTATCATCGAAATACAAAGTATATTGTAATGTTTCATAAACTTGGAATGTATTACAGTTTTATACAAAGTAGAACAAGTACCAGTAAGAGAAACATATACTACAACTGAATCATGTCTTTGAAACAGTAGGTACCAAGAAGGAACCAACCAATAAGAACGGAAGTGAAGAGGAACCAAAATTTTAGGAAGGTGAAGCCCCCAAATGTGACTCCAAGAAAAAATACAACCACAAATGGTATGATAGATCGCAGCATAGATACTTTGCTGACCCAACGTCCATTCAATAAAATGAAAATTGCAAGGTTCACCACATTCCATCCACCAGACTGGAAGCCCAACCTGTTCAAATTATTGGCAACAAACGAGTGGCAGTTGCACGTAAAGAGATTGTAAGATCGATGTTGGAATTCTTGAGTGCTCTTTCGTAGTGCAGCATCCCAAGTCCTCAAACCTACTCCGGTTTCATCCTGCATGTAGCATTCCTCACCATTGTATGCAGACTGACCCAAAGGGATGCAACATTGCTGACAGTTATTTTCAACAACATTAGAGAAGCAATAGAGAAGCAAAAAACCAATGGGTTAACAATTTGGACAAATTAAGTAGTTCCTTTGAAATATAGGTCTTTATAGCTATCATAGGGGTCCAGCTTGTGTAAATCACAGCATGATGCAAAAATAATAGCACAAAAGAAAGTTACAGACATGAAGTTGTTTCACAAAGAACTCATTCTATAATCTTGCTTTCTGTATCTTGATTTGTCCCAAGAGATAACAGCAAAGCCCAGTTTAGTTCAGGACTTTTTTTTCCCCATGCATAAATGTGTTTACTAAGGGGAAACAAACATTTTCTGTGTTCTCTTCCCACAAGAAAGAAAATATAAATACAAGCATATATACCTTTTCTTTGGTTATTTGAAGATATCGAGTGGGAGATCCAAATGCAAAATTGTCCACACACACAAAATTAGGCCCCGCAAAATCCAATATCACTCCATCCTCTCTGCAGATGCCAATGTGACCAATGAAAGGAATGAACCATGAGATCACAGGAAGTGGTGACCACACAATGGAGGTTGGAAATCGAGCCCTTCTGGGATCAATTTCCATTGTTTGGGGAAAACCTCCTCCCATCATCTGCTGTTGCTCGGGATCCAACTCTGCTTCCATTGCAAAAGTTGGGGAGAACACTGACTTCCCTATACAGTCACAACAAATAATTATAAAACAGAAGTTTCTACATGATTCGAACCTTTAACCAAATCATCACCAACATGATGAAATCACAAGAATGCACGTCTAATGTCTAATATTTCCATGATTTAAGTGAAGCAGTGATGGAATTTAAATGTTGCCTTTCTTTCAAGGGTTTGAAGAACATTCTTGATACAGTGATCTCAACCGATTCTGACAACGAGGTATCCTACATCGTTTCTTACATAGATTCGGATTTTGAAATTGAAGATTGAGATTTGGTAGCGCAAAAATGAATTGACGGGAGAATGATCCCCAAACTGGCATATAAGTAATCATAACGATTCTTGATGAAATTACAAATTAGGATAAGAAACCCAAGCTTAGAAATGAACTATCGCAAGCACGGAACATAGAAAAGAGAAAGAGAGAGAGAGAGATCGGATCCAATCACCTGGTAAACCAGAAGCAGTGTCGCTACTCGTCCACTTTTGCAGCTGTTTATTTTCTTTCTGGCTTAGCAGTTAAAGGATTCTGAGACGGGACCTTAACTAACAAGGCTAAAATTCACATCTAACCTACTACTCTGTATCTTCTTCACAATTTGATTTTTGATTTTTGATTTATTAGTATTATTATTAGGGGAAATATATTCTAACAACCAAGTTGTGTTACTATCAATCAATCTCACTCGATTATGTTGATCCAACAGTTATATTTATTTCCATCTTTGTATGATCATGATTTCTCAAATTTAATACTTTATATTTATTTCCACCTTTGTATGATTATGATTTTTCATATTTAATACTTTCACTTTGAATATGAGAAATCATAACCATACAAAGATGAAAATAAATATAACCGTTAGATTAACATAATCGATCTAACCGTGAGATTGATTGGTAGTAACATGGTAGTAACACAACTTGGTTGTTACAATTTTCTTCCCCTCGTTATTATTTTAAAGAAAAATAAACATAGGAATTTGTGACTATTTCTAAAGGGCAAATTGATAATGACAAGTTAAAATAAAAATGGAGCAATTCGGTTTACTACTTCAATGATTTTGACATTGTCCTGTTAATTAATAAAAGATAGAGTTTAATATCTTTCTATAAAATAATTTTATCTCTTATATATATATAAAAATGTAAGAGATTCATATTTTTTTTTTCTCTTTTCTCTTCACGTGATTTTATATAAGTTACACTCACTTTTATACCTACACAGGAGATAATTTTATCTTTTATCAGTTCAGATTCATCAAACCCTCGTTTAGCTAATGGAAAAAAATGCAAAAGAAGAAAACAAGGGGAATGAGAATGTGAGTCAAATGAAGGTAATAAATCTTCAGAGTTCACAGCAACGTAAATATCCTTCTGATGGTATTTTGGATGGATGTGAGTAATACCTTTGCCCTGCTACATGATCGATTAAGCACTAGGCGATGGATTTATTTTTATTTTTTACGTTAGGCTATGGATTTCTTTTCTTTTCTTTTTTCAGCTAATCCAATATAGCGGTGGTATCATATTATATGCCTGTCTTTTCATTTATTATCACGAGATGTTTATTGGAATTTATGCTTAACATTTGATTTACACAAAAAGTGGGGTGAAAAGGTTGTTCTGAGCCTATCTGGTATAATTCCATATAATTCAATCAGTTAAGATTCCTCTGAAGTAAAAACCAACGTTACTAAAAGTGTATTTATCTTTTGGAATTAAAGTAGATTAAGTTCACTCACGGAGACTCTTTAGTTTATGTTAGCTCTTCATGAATGTATTTTTATTTGTGCACTTCGAAAGACTTTTTCCCTTTAAAGAAGTTTTTTCAATTCAATACAACATATAAATCATGTATCTCCTAGTTGCTGTTCTTGTGTTCAACTAGTGGAGGTATCATATTTACATATTGCAGTGGATCCATATCAGTTGCTGGTACTGACAAACCAGCTGTGCTTTTCTACTAAACTTTTTATCATTTGTCTTTTAACCAAGAATAGGACAACAGGATCATGACGATCCATTCAAACTCCCTTAATCGTGTGTTACCAACCAGAATAAGTAATAAAAGAAATGGTAACCCTGCTGCAACAAAGAAATGTTGTAATATTCGGTCGCCTTAAGGGACTTGTACAGTTTTGCTAGCATACAAAATCCTTTCCCCCCTAATTTCTTAGAGAGTTTTGTGTAGGAATCAATGGTTGGATGAGGGAAGAACTGTCACATTTTCCTTCCATTTGATTCTCGGGCTCAATGGGGACTACGACCTCTTTGACAGACTTGGTTTCTTCACTTCTTCCCCAGACAACAAGGTATAAGCCTGATACAATTAAGAAAGCTCCGATAATCCTGCACCTCAAAATTGAAAACAATTAAGATTTCTATAGCATAAACCAGAGGCAATGGATAACATAGTAACAAAGCTTTGATAATCCAACTCAAAGATTTAAGTGGATAACATATTTTGCCATCAGAAAATTTTCAAGGAAACAAATGAAATCAAAGGTGCTTGGATCATAAGAACCTACCCTCCCAAGAAGAATTCTTCACCGAAAATAATGGATGCCACCAAAGCTACGAGTAATGTCTGTAACGGTAGATATATTGAAGCAAGCACTGGCCCTCCCTTGCTGATAGTCCATATCTGTAATGCTGCTGCCAGCCCTGAAGACACCAGACCCTGATACAAACCAACCTAATCTGTCATCCTATTTGTTATATTTGGCTTCCTTTGACATGCAAATGATTATATAAAAACAAGTTACATCGTAGACCCTAATAGTTAAAACAAGTTTTCTTGATGTGTCGAGGTCACCACCAATTATGACCTCGGTTAAATAAGAAGGCAAAACAAACTTAACCTTGCTACAGTTTTGCATTATCTTTGAATTTTAACTTGCATCATTAGGCAATAAGAAAATTGATAATTGTCGTGAAGATGGTAACATGAAGTGACCAACATACTAATGAAACATGCAGATTGAGCTAGAAGTTTGATTTACAAACCGAGAACAAAATACTGTAGATCTCACTACTTGAATTGAGCTGCCAGGCTTTAGAATCCTTCTCAAAAAATGCTGCAATTGTCATAAACTGCACAATACCAAAGAAGCAAGTAAAAGCAGAAACTGTGAGTTTGGCTGAGTAATTTTTCAGAACAAATGCTTGCATCACAATCCAACCAGACCAACATAAGCAGTGACCAAAGAGATAAATGCCACCCAAGCTCAAGTTCTTTCCCGTGGCATCCCCGAACACAGACATGAAATGTTCCTGATGTAATGCTAAATGTGGAGTATAAATGGTAGGTCCCTTGTAAAGGGTAATGATTGAAGCTCCTCCAACAGAAGCAAGGACTCCAAGGACCTTGGCCAGACCATGTATCCTATTGAAGTGCACACTCTCATATCTGCACTTCACATATATAATTGAAAAAAAAAAAAAAAAAGTTGTAAGTATTCATCTTAGGGCTTTAACCTTTAAGGTGAAGGATTGTAGCTTGCCTGAGTACCGCAGCCATCAGAAAGGTCAGGGCTGGAACAGAGTTCTGCATAGCAGCAGCAAACGTTGGTGATGTGTTCTCCAAACCCAAGAAATAGAATCCTTCTTTCATTGTTATTCTATCAGAATCAAAAATGGGGATTTTAAAATTACACTAATATGTTTTATAAATTGATTGATCAATGGAGTAGCTTCATAAAAAAATCGTACCCAACAAGTCCAAGGAGGAAAAATTGTACCAGACAATAACTGGTTATTCGCGGCCTGTCTTTCCTTAAAGAAAGGAAAACAAATATATAAAAAAAAGAGTGAGATAGTTGAACCGGTTCCTATATATATATATGCTATAGAGCTAAAGAAAGAACATACCTCTCTGAAAAATATGCAAGGGGACCCAGAAGGACCAAAGCGGTAATGTTTCTATAGATAGGAAAGACAAACTTGCTTACACCCGTATTGAGTGCAATTTTAAGAAATATATGATTTCCAGCATGACAAAATTGTAAAAAAGTTAAGGCTATGTGAAGCTTAGCTCGTGTAGGCACCATATTCTTATTTGTCTTCTGCTTTGTTTGCAGATACTGATGGATAGTTCAGATCCACTTAGAGAAGCACATGTTCAATCTTTTAGAGTTGGTTGACCGAGAGAAAGAGGGGGGGAAAATCTGTCTGGTAGATACAGATCCATCAACCCAGTTGTGCACACATGAAAACAGAAGAACTAGTCAAATTTGTTCTTTAGTCTTTACTATCTACAATGAATGCTGTCGTTTGTGGGTTAAAAATGTTCATTACTTACATTTTCCGCTAGCGTGTGATTGTGAACTGGTCTTTGTTGTCGTTATCTGAATGGATCTCTGTTTTTCATACTCCTAGTAGCTTTTGGAATGCAACTCTTCCTTATTTATTTTTTATAAATAACATATATTATTGTTAGGACTTAGGAGACACAGATGGAGTATTAAATCTTTAAATCTTTTTCAAAAACAATATTAAAAAACACCAAACATATCCTTTCGTCTCTATTTGTTAAGTTAGCTCAAACAGATGCTTTCATCTCTATTTGTTAAGTTAGCTCCCACATGCCATTTGTTCCCTCTTCCATATTTTTATTTCGAAAGTTATTTTTTTTTGGATTACTTTGGAAGGTCTTTTGATCGGCTTTTTGATCATTGTAGCTCTTATTTAATAATTAATTACATCTTGATTATAAATTATTTCAAAAATTTAACCTCTTCAGAAAACATAACACCAATTTATTTCTGTTTAATGATTGACCTAGTCCATCAAGTCTACCTAGATAACTCTCTTCCTATTTGAGTATTTTTTGAAAAAAATTTTTTTATCCAAATAGTCGAGGAGATACCTGATATAACTCAACAAGAAAAGAAGAAACTTCCAACACTTTCAAGATGACAAAATTATTAAAGGCTTCTAGCAAGTAGTGACAAATTCTGAATAAGGATGACATAAATCTCCCCTTACAACCCGGATGAACTAGTGAGCAACGAGCACGCACTCAACTAAACATGCTCCATCATAGTTTGATTATCAACTATCGAATTCAACTATCATTATTTTTCCGGGTAAATAATTGAATTTTTTTTTAGAATTTTAAAATATACCAGGTATTCCCTTGACTTATTTGAGTAGAAATTTTTTTCAAAAAATACTTAAATAAAGAGAGGACTGTCCGAGTAAGCTTGATGGTCAATAGTCAAACAAGGACACATTGATATTATATTTTATGAAGAGATTAAATTTTTAAAATAGTTTATAATCAAAGTCAATTTAATAATTAATTATTAAATAAAGACTACAATGATAAAAAAGGCCTCCTTTGACCTGTATAATTTTAACTCCGAAATTTATAACCCTTTTATACCATTTTGTTTTAAATGACAAACAGCATAAATGGCTAAGTCATATAACAATTTCTGTTTATATATTATTTTTCCCACAATAATAAAGCTGAAACTGGAAAGAAAGTTGGGAGTTATTTATTTTTTTCTATCTGTGTTGTGATCTGTTTTTTTTAGCAAATAAAAACAATATTAACAATCAAAGAATATATGTATATTTATATATTGAACACTAAAAACAAATATTAAACGGGCATTGGTTCGGTGTCTGCACTGGTTTCCAATACAAGACCTCTATAGTGGAGAGACACCAAGTCCACCAAGTGGGTGTTTGTTGAATGTTGAGCAGAGGAAGACGAGACAAGAGCTGAATTGCACAAACAGGCACACGCACACAGAGTGTGAGATAAGTCATGAGGAAACGGGATTTGGCCATTCTTATGCTTTCCGCTTTCGCTATTTTCTTCTCTCTTCAGGTACCCTATTCCCCCAGTTATCGAAAATTCACTCTAAAACCCTAACCTAACCCCCGCTTTCTGATACATCCAATTTAATTCAATTGATTAATTTGATTGCTGCCGACTATGTTTGTGTGGGTTTTAATTCATTCAGCAAGATGGTGGCGTTTCGTTCAAAGAAGCGTGGATGCACCTGACCGATGAATACCCAATCAAATACGAAGCAGAACGCCTTCCGCCGCCGCTAGTTGCTGATCTCAACGGAGACGGGAAGAAGGAAGTTCTCGTAGCTACTCATGACGCTAAAATTCAGGTACATTCATATCAGAACTTGTTACCTCATTTTTGCTGGTGCCAATTTTGGTTCTGTTGCTAAGTTTCATGCTTGTTTTCTTATCCTTCATAATTGAAGTTGTACGTGTGCATACTTTCAGGAACATTTTCTAATTTTTTTTTCCTTGCTGATTTTGCTCAATAACTTTGTTACAACTGGTACTAGCAGTAGTAACAGGATTTTGTAATTATGGTGAGTTTTTTAGGTCTTGGAGCCCCATAGTAGGCGTGTGGATGAAGGGTTCAGTGAGGCGCGTGTATTGGCCGAGGTGTCTCTGTTGCCTGACAAAGTGCGTGTTGAGTCTGGGAGACGCCCTGTTGCTATGGCCACTGGCTATATTGACCGATATAAAATTGGGCAACCACAGAAACAGGTTTTGGTTGTAGTGACATCGGGTTGGTCCGTAATGTGTTTTGATTCCAACCTCCAAAAGTTTTGGGAAAATAATTTACAGGTATGATGTTTTAGTTGTACCATTCCTCAAGATAGAATTTTCAACATAATCTTTTAGATTATCCTATTATATTATGTTCAGTATACTAATTCTTTTAGTAGTTGTTAACAGGAGGATTTTCCTCATAATGCTCACCATAGGGAAGTTTCAATCTCTATAAGCAATTATACTCTAAAGCATGGAGATACGGGATTGATCATTGTTGCTGGGAGGATGGAAATGCAGCCACATGTATGTTTCACTTTCCTCCTTGTTTCCTGGTTTGTTATTATTTTTTGCTAAGTATGTATGCCCTTTTCTATATGCTATGGCAATACTCACAATCTAATGTGGATGATGTTTACCATCCTTTTTGAAAAGTGAAAACTATTAATAGTTTGAGTAACAGTAGTCCGTGGCTATCTTCTTTCTTTCTTTCTTTTACACTCTGCAAGGGCAGACATGAAAGTTCCTCAGGAATTTTATTTGACAAGGTGCGATAGTAATGTGGGTTTCGTGCTTAGTTTCAGAAATTTTTCTGTTATTTGAGTTTTATAATGGCAATAATTTGCATCTCTAGTTTATGCTTGGAGTTGTTGGTATTATCTTCTAATCTAAACTTTGTTTCTTTGCTAGTGTTTGGTTTCTTGGTCTTATTGCTGTCTTAGTTTGGGAATAAACTGTTTTGGTATAGCTTATGTCAATTGCTTTCCACTTTCAGATTTTTATTGATCCTTTTGAAGAAATGGGAATGGGAGCTAGGTTTGCTGAGCAGCATCGAAGAAGTGCTTCTGAAAAGGAGGTATAGACATGTTGCTAGTGGATGCTAAATTTTGTGCTCGTTTTCTTTCACTATATTGTAGGTTGCTAAGGGGTGATAGATTTTGGGTTAAATTGAACAGTTCTTAATAGTCAATTTGAATTTCTATTCTCATTTGAATACATAACAATAAATTTTCACTAAGGCTTGGCATAAGTAAACCAATAAACTCTATGCACCTTGCAATAAGTAGCCCTATGAATCTATACATCCATAATCCACTAGCTAAATAAATAGGAGACTGTTTGACTCCTTACTTTAAAATTTTCTTTTATGAAAATATGAATCAGGTAGATGTCAGTTATCTTCCCATATTTAAGTGGAAAACTTTGACTATTTATTCTGTTCCTTGCCCTGGATAGGCTTCCGAAAACTCTGGAACTGTGGATTTACGCCATTTTGCATTTTATGCATTTGCTGGTCGATCTGGCACAGAACGATGGAGCAGAAAAAATGAGGTGGTGTGCTTTCTTCTTTGGTCTTTAGCATGCTTTATTGTTTGGGTGTTGCCATGTTAAATTGAAACTGAATTTTTTTTTTATTAATGAATGCATTCTTCCTTTTTATTCTAATTTATTGGTTTGAAGGATACATTTTTTTATCTATAAATTCATAATGTGTACTCTCTGTATCCCCTCCCCCTGTCTGTCTTATTATTTCAAAGTTTATCTTGGTGCTAGCAATTCAGGTTCTAGACAGTATGTCTTTGTTCAGAAAGAAACATGAAAACTGAAGGGAAGTTATAATTAAAAAAAAAAAACAATCAAACAATGAAACAAATAGGACCACCTCCCATCAAACTTCAACCTTAGTCTTATCTGTTTTTGACACTATATTAGATGTTTTACCACCAATATTGTTGTCCAGTTTGATTGTGTGATTGATGCTAATCATACATCTATTTTGTTTGATAATCTTGTGTAGCATCATCCTTTTTTCTAATTACTTGGATTGTCTTTTCATTATTCAGAACATTGAAGCGCATTCCTCAGATGCATCTCAGCTAATTCCACAGCATAACTACAAGCTTGATGTTCATGCTCTGAATAGCCATCAACCTGGAGAGGTACTTACATTATAGCTGTTCACTTAAATACTAAGCCTAAGGGTATGTTAGATTGGTGGAATGTGATGGAATGGAGTGGTAGAAATATCATTCCATCCATTGTAACCTTTCACTACTCAGCGAGTAGGATTTGGGGTAAAGCAGTGGAATCATTGTTTTTCTTTTTCAAATATATTTATTATACTATAACCTAAAAATATACATATTGATTTTACTGTTCTGCCCTTTAGTTCAATTTCTATGAATTTAATTTCCTTTCCTCATCAATCCTCTAAACAGCTTCCAAACGAAGGAAAAGTAATACCATCCCTTCCCACTCCATTCTATTCCTCTACAGTACACTAAAAAATCCAAACATAACCTAAATCTGTTGAAAATTGTCATGAACCATCTATTCAAAAGCTTAAGCTATTAGGTGAAAACTCATGAATGGTTATATATTTCATCTTTAACATGCCTGCTCACACAAGAGCCATTTGGACTTGAAGCGTGCACAATGCACACGTCCTCTACATTGTGTTGAAATTCAATATTTTATTAGAAGAATAGAGGCGGTAAGTAGCAACTCTAGATCATATTGTCATAGAGGCTCCAATACCACCTTGAAAACTTAAAATATTTGAATATCATTTCTTGTATTTTTTGTATAGAATTATTTAACATTATATAGACACAGGTCAATTACTACTTACTTGAAATATAGCTAAATCTAAGGAAACAAATCTGTCCCGATAATAAAAATAATTTGTAATAATTAAATAATTATTTTATTTACAACAATAAGTGTTGCAGTGCTTGTTTTCAAATTATTACTTACTTCCAAGTTCCAATAGACTGGACTTCTAGTCATACCTTCATGTTATCCACCTTTTCTCTTAATATGATCAATCATTGAAACAAATATTTGTTTGTTTATATGGAGTTTGCCAGAAGAACTCCAGTACTCATCCAAGTCTATCTGAGAAACTTCATCAATCCCTTTGTGTGTGGAAACAGTAGCATGTTCACATAGTTGATTGTTTTATTTAAATTAATGTTATTGTAAAATCTTTATTTATGATTATACATATCTTCCTAAAAGATAACTTCCTATGACATGTGAAATTCTAGTTTGAATGCAGGGAATTCAGAGAATCAATCCTGGGAGTTATGCCACATCACTGGGTACATTATAATAGTCAACCTTGATTAATCTTCTGTACAAAAGCTTAATCTCAAATGTCCTATGCACTTGACATTTATATAAAATCAATTATCAGGATAGAAGAGAAGATACTTTGTTGAAGCTGGCACACTTCAAGCGGCACAAGAGGAAAACATTGAAGAGAACACCTGGAAAGACTATGAATTACCCTTTTCACAAGCCAGAGGAAAACCATCCTCCAGGGAAGGACTCAACCAAAAAAATTTCAAACATAATTGGGAAAGCAGCAAATTATGCAAATTCTGCAAAATCTAAGAAGGTTAAATTCAAACCATCTCATGCAACTGCTGACGATGCTGAATATATGTGATAATTCTCAGTCATTAGACTTAATTCCATTCTTGACACAACGAGACTAGTTTTAAGATGATATTAATTGGGAAACTCTGGAATTCTTTCCCAAACATGATTTAAGCTAGAAGCTTTTGTTGTCTGTATGGGGTAATTAAGTGCTCTGTACCTGTGGAGTGCAGAGTATTGATCATCAAAGTTCCTCATTGATGTGGGCCCTTACTATAAATAAATTTTGAATTCATTCTTCAATTAGTTTTATGGCTTGCATATAAAACAATTTGAGGACTATCATGTTTGTAGATTATAGTACTGTATGAAACTTGGCATGTGCAAAAGCAATAACCTGAGTGAATAAAAAAAAAAATAGCCTGGTGGAAACTCAGGTGTCTTTTTTCCCCTGAAATTAGTTTAACTAGAGTAGTAGATCTCAGCTGTGGTAAAACATAACATGTCCAAATTTATTAAATATACTTAATTAGAGGTTTGCTACATTAAAGTAATGTCTGTGTAGTATTATTTTATGTTTTATTGCCCATTAGGAGAGAAGTTTTCGAACAAATAAAATGGGTGGCATTTTATGGCATTATGGAAAGCCAGCTTTTTTTGGAGGGGGAGGGGGTTATAGAATTTACTGTGTTTTTCATAATGTTTTTCTTTTGGGATGCAGCACCTACCTTATGTTCCAACGATAACCAACTACACCCAGGTTTGGTGGGTTCCTAATGTCATCGTGGCTCATCAGAAGGAGGGGATAGAAGCTCTTCATCTGGCATCTGGTCGAACAATATGCAAGGTAAGCATAAAACTACTAATTTACTTGAACTTAGTGTTTAACCATGGATGTCTTGATTAAGTCACAATACAAATTTGTCTAAATAATTATTGAAGGCTGTAAGTAGTTGTAAAGCTGAATATTCTGATACTGTTCACTGCTTATAGAGCACATTGTCTTAGTCTAAAAAATGTTTGCTCCTGTGATTTTAGTATTTAAACAGGCCTGGTTTCAGCCAAAATTTTATTCAGCTCCATCATATTATTCGTTTGTGATCTTTTTCATATCCGTAATGACAAATTTGTTTATCCCAGCTTCACCTTCAGGAAGGTGGTCTACATGCTGATATTAATGGCGATGGAGTTCTAGATCATGTGCAGGTTCATGTTTTTTCACTTATATTTTGGTAAAAAAATAGCTAGATCACGTTAATTTAGCATGATAACAGATGCGGGGATATTCTTCTGCCTGATGTGTGGAATACTTATCCTATCAGGCTGTTGGAGGAAATGGTGCTGAGCAAACTGTAGTTTCTGGGTCCATGGAAGTGCTGCGTCCTTGTTGGGCTGTTGCAACATCTGGCATACCAGTACGGGAACAACTCTTCAATGTATCTATTTGTCATTACACCCATTTTAACTTATTCCAACACGGAGAACTTTATAGAAGCTTTAGTCATGGTTCAGATATGTCTTCTTTAGAGGTAGCAACACCTATTCTCATTCCTAGAAATGACGGTCATAAGCATAGGAAGGGAAGCCATGGCGACGTTGTCTTTTTGACCAATAGGGGAGAGGTATGCTATTGTTTGACTTCCTGTGGTTATTTAACATTTGTTCAAGAGTTTGTTTGAGCACCATTCGAAACTAGTTCTTCAATTTTGTTTCTTGAAATGTTTCAGTCTCAATTAATTTATATTTGTGGTATTTTGAGATATTCCTGTGGGGATTACTTCTCTAGAAAAAACATTTACAGAATCTTGTGAAATATGAAATTTTGAGATTTAATTTGGACGTAAACTAATAAATGATCTTTTGAGATATCAGTTATGCTTCTTGTAGTGCTTGAATAGGTTGAAATGGAAACACGATCTTATTGATACTGATATTGGTGACTTGGTAAAAATCGCTTCTTGCAGATTACATCATACTCCCCTGGCTTGCATGGTCATGATGCTATTTGGCAGTGGCAACAATCAACGGGTGTTACATGGTCAAATCTGCCTTCCCCATCAGGGATGATGGAAGGTGGTCTGGTGATTCCCACACTAAAGCCTCTCTCCTTGCGGTTGCATGATAGTCAGGAAATGATCCTTGCAGCTGGTGAACAAGAAGCTGTGGTAATATCACCCGGAGGTAGTTTATTAGCTACAATTGAACTACCTGGTCCACCTACACATGTCCTGATCTGTGAGGACTTCTCAAACGATGGGCTCACTGACCTTGTTCTTGTCACCTCTAATGGAGTGTACGGCTTTGTCCAGACCAGGCAACCTGGTGCTCTCTTTTTCAGCATGCTCGTTGGTTGTCTCATAGTCGTTATGGGAATTATATTTGTCACTCAGCACTTGAATTCCATGAAAGGGAAGCCTCGTCCCTCATCCGGTCCTCGATGAAAAGGAGCTGAAATTTATACTAGCTGAACTTTGCAGGCGCTACTGAAGAAACACAAGAAAATGAGGTGTACGCAAAACCAGTGGAGCATCAATAGTATGAAATTTTGAGGAGGTGCTGGACCGTGTAGGACTGTTGACTGTAAAATTTTGATAGAAATGACATATGAACCTTGCATGTTGAAAATTTGTTGTTATAACATTATTATAAGGAAACTATACTGTCCGCTTCAGTGATATTTGACTGCTTTTACGAGGATGCTATACTGTACAAACTCGTCACGTATTCAGAATTAGTTGATGCACGAGAAATTCGCAGGATAGTTTTGGAGAGTCACCACTTTATTCCGTGAAAGATGTATGTTGTTTCAATTTCATGGAAGTCTAGTTTTATTATTTAGTCTTTAACCATTTCAATTTAGTTTTATCGTAGGCATTTGTATGAAAAGTACATGGAAGGACTCAGTTAAGAAAATATCTTTTATGGACCGAAATAGCAGTTTTTTTAGGTTGTATCCGTTCAAAAGTAGTATACATTGTAACGTACGCGGATTTATTGGGGAGGACATCACATCACATCAATAACAAACGAAGAATGTCTTAATTTCTTTCTAAGCATCTTAATCCAGCTGATGATTATGCTTTTATTCAGAAAGCTTGCGATGGCATTATTTAGTTTAGCTATGATTGAACTTGCTTTGCCTTTTCAAAGGGAAGAAAAGGTTTGGAAAGAGAAATCAGTTTATACTATTCCAGATATTTAATTACTTCTAAATAAAATGGGCATATGCTTCTGCAGCTATTTTCAAGGTAGATTTGCATCACTTCGCAGAATTGATAATTTATTTAAATGAAGCCTAATCACCAAAATTCACTGAAAGGGTCTTATTGGAATTACGTGTTTTTGCTTCAAAAGAGCCCAGCAATCAGCAATACCATTCAAGAAAGCGATTTGGACCTGACAGAACCCATTGCCGGCACTTGATTTCTCAATCATCGGAAGAGACCTCGACAGGCCCACATATTTCAATTTTTCATTCAAAATCTTACGTCCTTTCAATTTCCATTACATAAACTCCATATGCATGCAATCACGATTGGCCATCCTGGATTTCCAATTTTCAAATCCTTCGCAAAATTCTCTTCTCTTCTATTTTCAAGTCACAAACTACTTTCAAGTTTACATGAAATAGAAGTTTTTTTTTTTTTTTTTTTTAAAAAGCCTTCTTTTGCTGCGTTGCTTGCAATTACTTCTGAACCGCGTGTTAACAATCTTAGGCTTAGCAGGAGCCTAGTGACATAATGTACTGTGCCAACAGAACAGTACATGTGTATGATCTAGCAACAAAGGGCTGGTTTCATACGTGGACAGTTTACGACCTCAACATAACTTCTCTCTTCATTCCTTTATAAACAAAACAACACATGCTTGAGATTTGGTTACTCAGAGAGACATGTACACAGACAAAGCCTTCCTTCTCTCTCTCTCTCTCTCTCTCTCTCTCTGACCCAAAAGACATACAAGAAAAGATTTTGAAGGAGAAAGGCGTGCCAGCCATATTCATCTCTCTAACTAGTAGGCTTCTTGTTGGGACCACCACAACTGTTATGGCAGAGATAAGAGACCACCATTCCATTATGTTGCACTAGACTCCTACATGCCTGGCCTCACCCTATGATACTACTGCTGCTCCTGCCACAGTACGAAAACGCCATCAACCCATTATTCTGCAAGAAGCCCTAGCCTTCATTTCATTAGCTTTGGCCCTGCTTTCTCTTTATAAAGCAAAATCTGTTCAATTCAAACTTCAAAATGCTTATACTGCGCCCTCAGTCCTTTCCTCTCCAATTATACTACAACAATTTATGGACACGTGAAACTGTGCAGTCTGTTTCAAACGTTGCACTGCCAGTGACAATAACATAAACGACCCGGACTTGGCACCAACTAGAGTTAAGAGCTAAATTACTTAGCTGCATCACTGCATGCCTGTTTCGCCTGCAAAATATAGTGATATCGACAAGCTGTTCATTTGAGTTTCCAAGGCCAGGAGGCCAGAACGAAGGCTATGAAATCAAGGTGCGTGTATTCACTTCCTGAAATGTCTGTTTTAGTAGTTTAAGCTTTTTGAGTATGTGATAGGATGAACCTTTTATTATTACAAAACAACCAAGGAAAAAAAGCACATAAAAGTATAGAGTTGAAAATGCTATTGTTCAGCAAAATGGGGGAAAAATTTTGTTCAGCAAAGTAACGGATAGAGTTGAAAATGCTATTGTTCTTTTTAGTGCACAAAGAAGAATTAAGAATCCAATAATGAAGGAAATTTATATTTTAAGCGGGGAGATCATGGATCTCACCATTATCATCGACGTCTCTGGTAATTGGTAAAGTGCTCTCCATATTTCACCGTTTGGAAAGATAAAATTCAGAAATTCTTATTTCATTGTGCTCCATTGTGTAACTATAACATATATGACTAGAGGAAGCGTTGAAGTATAGAGCTAAGACTTGTGTCGCATCCATGGTACAACCATTTTGCATTCACGTTAAGACTTACTTTAATTTTTTAAAGTGCTCTTTTAATTTTAATAATAATTGTTAAATATCATAGATACAAGAGGAAATGATAGTAATCCTTGTTGTATTAAACTACACAACATTGGTGCTATTATATAGTAAACCAATTGAAGAATACAAAGAGACACACTCAATGTGGGACTTCTACACTATTAACACTAACACTCTTAACACTCCCCCTCAAGCTGTAGCATATAGATCATATGCTACAAGCTTGATACATAAATAATACTCTCATTAGGAACCAAAAACAACAATGCTACATCAACGAAATGAAATGACTAAGTACAACAAATCAACTGAACTGACCATCAGTCTGAAGAGATGATAAAGAGACAGTGCTGGAATGGACATCAGAGCATGGATGGTGCCGGAATTATCATCGGCAAAGACAACTGAGCTGACCAGGACATCAGCATCAAGATCCCTCTCAGACATTTCATTTAACAGTTGATGAGCAGTCGTGGTTTACCCTTGACTATGCTACAAGCTTATTACAAGAAAGACCAAGTAACATAACATCAAAATAAATCTCCTAAATGAGAAACCAAAAATCAACAATGTGCTAAAAATGGCGTCGAAATGAACATCAACATGGAAGATGCCGGAATGATCATCGGCAAAGACAATTGTGCTGGAATAACCATCAGCAACATGGACGGTGTTCCCCCTCAAGAGGAACTTCTAAACAGTGCCGGAATTATCATCGGCAAAGACAATTGTGCTGGAATGACCATCAGCAACATGAACAGTGCTCCCCCTCAAGAGGAACTTCTAAACAGTGCCGGAATTATCATCGGCAACGACAATTGTGCTGGAATGACCATCAGCAACATGGACAGTGCTCCCCCTTAAGATGGATGATGAATAGTATAAATACTCCATCTTGGGAAGAAAGAAAATTAAAAAAAAAACAAAGCTTCGCGAAATCGAAAAAGTCGCAGGAGACGGCGGTGGGTCGTCGAAAAAGTCGTGAGAGACAATGGTGGATCGCCGAAAAAGTCACCGGAAAGTCATCGGAAAAGTCGCCGGAGACGGCTGTCAACGGTGGACGACGCGGTCAACGGTGGTCAACCCAACAACTTTCCAAGGATCATTCTTTTCTGATGTGACAGATCAGTCTAAGCTGCAGTCACAGAGCATACTAAGAAAAACTCGAAAAAGAAATAGCAACGGGAATCCCTCAAGGAGGGTGATATCTCTCTATAACCATATTGAAATTATGGAAAATAAAACTAAGTTAAACGGATTAAGATTCCTCTTGTTAGACTCTGATACCATGTTAAATATCATAGATACAAGAGGAAATGATAGTAATCCTTGTTGTATTAAACTACACAACATTGGTGCTATTATATAGCAAACCAATTGAAGAATACAAAGAGACACACTCAATGTGGGACTTCTACACTATTAACACTAACACTCTTAACAATAATAATAAATAAATAAAAACAACAACAAAACATGCTTCCCTACTACTCAACAGTCAACACACACACAGTAGCATATAAATAATCAGATAGACGCACGCGACACGAGTGCTATAAGATGAGATAGTTGAAGACAAATACAAATGTTAGTATTAGTGATTTCAGTTTTAGTTGTCAGGTATTTATTTTGAGAATACTAAATACATAATTTTTGCATAGAAGCAGGAGACAAACAACCAAATTATATTTAATGATGTCTGAGGATTTGACTAATGTGCTACCTCCGGAACCAAGAAGGCTGGAAAATGAACTTACGGACAAGTACGTAAGAATTATTTGTCATTACACAATTGCAAGCCAAATATAGATTATACTTACATATATATGTTGTTACTTCTGATTGAGAGCAACACTAAGAACTAGCTCTTTGCACAAGGAATTTTGAATGAGATAAGCATGAATCCCATTCGGTTGTAAGTGCCAGAACAAATATTTACATTTAGGATTGGCTTCAAACTCACATCCTCATCATGGGAGAGGTATGATAACTAAAAGAATTTCACAGTACAAGACGAGACATTCTACCATTAATATTTTCCAAACATACTAGTCTTACTTACTAAACTAAACGGCAAATTGCATTCAGATCATATTGGGCTGAGATGATAACAATGCCAATATTAGTGAAGACTTATCATTGCCTTACCGTACCCATCCATTGGATAAAAAAATTTCTAAAATATTCTCAACATTATCCTCCAAAATAAGGATGTCAGAACAATAAAATTTTAACATTTACTATCAAAACCTGGTCCATGCATGATAATATCTTAAGCCTTAACAGAAAGATTCTTTTGTAAGCCCAATACGATTTGCTTAGGTAAACACAAAAAACATAATTCTACAATGCAAAATCCTATATAACAATAGCAAGTTCTGGCATTTCCTCTTCATGCCCGTGAACTTTGACCAACCAGATAAGAATTATTCAAAGTCAAGATCAGAACCTCTTTATGGGAAAATCCATTAGCATTAAGACTTGGTTTTAGTAGTATAGACGAATTCCAAACTTCATAAAGCCAATGTAGACCAACCATAAGGAACAATGAAGGGTCAAATCTATGAGGCATAAGACATATATTCAATAACTAGTCAAATCCTAACAGAGAAACTTTTCAAGAGCCAGAGGCAAATTAAAGAATCAAGAAGTACAGAATTTTTATGTCCGCTAAATTCCTATATCTTCATACATTGCTCTTCATAAGTGGCTTTTTATTAATGTAGCAATATCCATTATCATAGTCAAAGGTGTTCAAGAATAATGATGAATGCATAATATTGGTTGTCTATAGCTTTATTTGTTTAAAAGCAATATTACTGTTTTTTATGATAAATACGCCATAGAAAGTTACTCATATTTGACAATACTCTAAATGAGAGAGCTTCGTAATTAAGAGTGAAAATGGAAAAGTTAGAAACGGGAAGTGTTGACTACTTTAAAAAAAAATGGAGAAGCATTTTAGCATATTTACATAGAGAAGAATCCGTTCCATTAGAATGTGTAAGTTACCATGCATATATGCTTTAGAGAAATTGAAACCCACAAAAGTCAAATTAAGGCCACATCGAGTGTGCAATATCTTCATAAGACCAAAGAGTTTTTTTCCCTTGAAGAATAAAAGCTTGCTCTCCACATAATGCTTCGTTCTCCATAGTTCATCAAAAAGACAAAATCTATTATAAAGGAATGCATGTTAGTCATATCTCTAACTTCATTTTTATTCCATCTTATCCCTCTAAAGTCAAACCTCAAAGTCTGCAATTTCCTAAAATAAAATATTCATAAAATCAAAAGTATTTTGTGGGTCATAGCATTATAAAAAATTGACTTTTGATGCTAGTTAATATCTATAGGTTATGTAATTGTGACTGTTAATTACATTTGGAGCTAAGGGTATGAAGCCAGGCCTAATTAACATAAGCACAGATAACATTGAAAAATTGGTTTATGGGAAACTGATGAGAGTAGGGGGTTGGCCATTATTCATGAGGAGAGAGTATACCTTGCATCACAAGGTTACGGAAAATGCTGACATCTTAGCCCTTCTTTTTATTTTACTAGTTTTAGTGTTCTTTGATCAAGTAACAGTTTTGTATTATGCCATATGCTGTACTCAATAGACATAAAATGGAGTGTTCCCCCATATACGTATAGGTTCCTGCATGAGCATTAAATATGAGCATATTGATAAGCAATATTTCCCATTTAGTAATCAACGTCACATCTATGCAAAGTATGATTGAATAAGATAATAGAATTACAGTATCACATGGGAAGAGGGAGATAGATATTTCACCTTTTAAACTTGAATGCTCATGCATGGTTGGACCGCCCATACCGAAATATGCAAAAAATAAATAAAAAACAAAAAAAGAGAAGACAACGAAGAAATCCTCCTGTACTGTACAGTTAGTCCAAATAAACAAGAAAACTGTGTTTCAAGTTCAATTTCAAACCGGCAAACATACGGAAAAAAAGGGAAAAAGCAGCTTCGAAGTTGAAAACCAAACACAAAGTGTGATAGAAATCAATTCAACATGAATTGAATTCTACCATCCCCCAAAAATAATATAAAATAAACAAAGACGCAGTACACCACAATATATTAGAACCAGATGTCCATTAATCATATCGTACAGAGAAATAAACAAATTTAAATAGTTTTACCTAGTTATCCTTATCACAAAGAAAAGAGAAGAAGAATGATATATTTTTTAACTAACTAACCATTGAAAATTTGCACCAAATTAAATACACCAAGCGTCTGCATTTTCTCTTGTTCTCTTTTCTTTCTTTCCCTCCTACATGAATGCGTATCAACTATAATACTAGTCCACTACAAGATTATCAAACGGTCGAAACATAGAGTGGGAAAGAGAGAGAGGAGAATAATAAGGGATACATTAAGACCATAAAATAAAATTTCTTTCTTTGGCCTTTCATTGTTTGTTCAAGATCTTGGGTGAGGGAAGAATTGCGTACCACTACCAGGCATAAAGGCGTTAAGAGGAGCTGGATACAAGGAAGAAGGATCGACGATTGCCCCAGACACAACGGCAGCGGCGGATGCAGCGGTGTTCGACGGCTGAACTCCGGTGGAGGAGCTTTCCATGTAATTACTGCTATCTGGACCGTAGTCGTAGAGAATTCCTTTGAACACATGCCCTCCAATGTTTACAGCCGTTGAGTATGCATACTCTTCGTCCGCATCTTCCATCGAACTAACACGTACGCACCTGAACTCCGCAGAAGAACTCACCACCGCAGGAAAATTTACATCATCTAACCCTTTTTTTTATAATATATTTAGAGAGGAAAAAAAAAAAAAGAACCATTAGGTAGATACACAAGAATAATCAGTCATTCAAAAGTGACCAAAATGCAAAATAACCTTTATAGGAAAAACAAAACAATATTAAAAAAAAGAAACCATCGAATGTAACCAACCACACAGACACTTCTTACACATGACATTCAACAAAAAAAAGAGAAGAAGATGAAAGTAAATGTGAATATGTTGGTATGCTGGAGTGAGTGTCAGCAAACAGTCACACGCATTCACAGACAGACACACACACACACACAAAGAGAGGGAAAACAGCTTCTTCCCTGACAATCCATTTTCCAGGGCAACTAAAACAACAGTGTTTTGGAAAAGAAAAAGGGAAAAAAAGAAGAGAAATCATGCTTCACACGCAAACGATACGGTCCTCGTTAGCGTTATCCTTCGAAAACTTTCTCAGTCCCTCGACATCTTTTTCAGAGAAATTCTCTCGACGCGTCTCTTCAATAGTCTCAAGTGTCAATCACAGAAACTGTGAGTGCGTATGTGTATAAATATATGCAAAGTAAGACAATACAAAGAAAGAGGCAACAACAAAATGATGATGAACGTGTACCTGAGGGTGAGGGGTTTGTAGGTAAACGAGTGCAGGCGAGAGGCGAAGAGGTTGAGTTATGATCTCTGTGCCTTCTAGGAAGATCTTCTTCTCCTCCTCCTCCTCCTCCCCCTTGTTGCAAAGTAGCTAGTTGCTGTTGTCTCTCGCGGCGCTTGGAAGCTGGAACCCAAGTGCTTCTCACATGGGTTTGGCAATCAAAGCCTCGACTCTTGCAGCAAGTCCTGCATCGCATGTGAGGGCAATCTTTCTTCGCTTGGTTTCCGCAGTCTAAACAGCTTATCCCTCCGCTTCCGCTTCCTACGGCGGAGCTGCTCACCATGAAGGCGGATCTCGACGACGATTGATCATCGGAAACGAGCCTGCTGGGCCCCACACCTAAAGCAGCTGCTGACGAGTAAAGATCTGGGTGGAAGAGAGGCCGCACTTGAGGGATGAGTTGTTGTTCTTGTTCTTGTTGATGTTGTTGTTGGTTCCATAGCTCGAAACCTCGGTAGGTGGAAACATCGTCATTTTTGTTATACCAGAATAAGTTGTCGGGAGGAGGAATATCCGTGGGTGAGTTGTGCTGGTGTTGGTCGTTGGTGTTGGTGTTGTTGTTGTTGTTGTTGTTGTTGTTCCCTCTTCTTCCTCCGCTGCTGCCTAATGAGAATATACCCGCCATTCTTGTGCCGCCTCTACTAAACCTGACCCTGACCTCAATTGTGACCGATAATCCATATCAAGAAAACCAACCTCGATCGCTGTCGTTTTGGTTTATTGTATCGGGAAGCAACTAACCAACTCGGCCAAAACTCAAAAATTAATAATAATAAAAACCCAAATTCACAACTATTGGTTCAATTAATTTTCCCAGCGCTTTCAATGTGGGGTTGAGAATTGGAAGACAAGTAGGTGTAAATATTTCTTGAAATTCTTCTATTCTTTGGTTTTTGTGTGCGTGTGTCTCCTCTCTCTCTCTCTCTCTCTCTCTCTCTATATACTCCTTTAACTTGTAGTAATAGTAGCTGTTATGGTTGGGGAAAGGGTAAATGGAAGGTTTGTTGGTTGAGGACAGACGAGAAACAGTGTCGGGGGCAGCGTTAATCGCGCCTTCAATTCATTCCAGTCTCTCTCTCTCTCTCTCTCTCAGCCAGCATTTATAAAAAGAGTAGCCACAAGAAACACAAAAGCACGATTTACAGCACTGCAAACGCCGCCATCCCCTTCTCTCTCTGCTGCCCCCTCCAATTTAAGTCTCACATCCCATTCTCTCTCTCTCTCTCCGATTCTTCCTGCAGAGTTTATGATTCTTTCTTCTTCTTTTTTAAGTTCTGAGCACTTCTCCTTTTTGTGTCTGTAGCCTGTGGTTAAGTTAGCACTATATTACAAAACCACACCACAGTAAGCAAGTTACCAGTCCACTCTTCCTTTTTATCAAAATTCTAATGGAATGGATGTCATCCATCTCATCTCAACGGTCCATATAAATTCCCGTGTTCATCCCACGTAGCACCTCGTTCCACGTGTCAAAACAAACAGCTTTCTGTCTTCCTTGTCCTCTGCCACCGGAAAACCCGCTGCTTTTTCGTGACACATTGCCCCTTTTATCTTCATTCATTTATTATATTCTTTTCATTTCTATTAAAACTCTTCGAGACTTATCTCTCATACGTATCAGTTAACATGATTATATTTTCAGGAGTATTATAATTATATAAAAATAAATTATTAATAATGAGACAAGAGAAAAAATTATATTACAATAGGTAATTTTAAAATTATCAATATTGATTCACTAAGTAGGATACTTTCAGTTTCGTATGACATAATTAAGTTAATTAACACATGACAGCTTTCATTTCCAAATTCTTATGTCCCGTTTATATTATTTATTCCCGTGAATAACTGTTGTTTATTTTAATGATTTTGAGAGATAATGGTATATGTTAAATTAAAGTAAACATTGATAATTTTGTATTAGATATATGAATACAGAGTGATTTTGAATTCTGACTCAAATCCCGCTGAGAGACTAATCAAAGATTACGCTTTCCTTATTGCAATGAACAAATCAATTTTGGTGTGATTAGTTTATTGAGGTAGAGAGATTTGGGACGGTGAAAAAGAGGTGAAGTGATCAGATTTCCATAAAAATAATCATGCTACTTCAACTATTATGTGCCGATGGAGGGGAACACAGCGCCACCACATCGTGATCGTACTTCTATTCTTTTCGTATTAATCAATATTATTAAGATTGATATTTTAAATAAAATTAAAAAATCATAAAATATAAGAGTGTAATATAAAAAATCGTAAAAAATTATAAAAACATAAAATTATAGTGATAAATTAAAATTTTAATAATTTATTATAATATTAATCTTTTTGTTTTTTCACTTTGAATTTTTTTTATTTTTTTAATAACAAGCAACTTGAATCGAATGGTTTTCCTTTCCAAACTGTTTTTTTTTTTATATAAACTATAGATAACCTCCAATAAAGGTCAAAAAATTTTAAGTCAGGAACATTTACGTTATAATGTGATTAATTTTCTTAAAAGAAAATTTTGTATATTCACAACAACTTTAAATTAAAATCTTGGTTAAACGAAATAATGGTAATAGCAATATAATATTATTGAGTGACACTTGTGTTTATGTGGTTATTTCATTAAACAATGTGCGATGGGATGAATGGATCATAAACCTGAAGTATGGTTGACCCTATTTAAAGAAGGGCAATAGTGTCATTGAACAAAGGTGCAAAGCATGATCATTCTTTAATGAAATAATGAGTAAAATAATGGTGTGGGACAGTGATGATTAATATGGTTAGAAAATAGAGAGTAAGAGAAGGCGCCGACCTGCAAGGGCATGAGCATTGAGACCTATCGCAGATATTTCGAACCGTACGGTGTATGCTTACTGAAAATCCCCCCACCCCCACTACACAACAAAAAAACTGAAAACTTACTACATTTATATATTTCTTGCCACATCACCCTCATTACAATTCTCTAATTGTGACTAATTATTATAAGCTTTAGTTCTACAAAATTATCTACACGTTTTCAAAATGATATTATTTTAAATTAAAAAATTATAATAAAAAAAATTATTATAATCTTAAAATAAATTATAATTACACAAATATATTAATTTTTTTTTCAAAACGATATTATTTTGGACTCAATCTAAATAGATTATCTACCTTGACTATAGAAAAAACAAATCATTATAACAAAAAAAAAATAAACTAGTGCTTTTTTAAAAATTAGAGAATTGACCAGACTTTTTAGTTATAACTAAGCGATGACTAAATTAATAATCAAATTATTACTATACATCACAAGATATATATTCATATTTAGAAATGAAATAAATGTAGGTAATATGTATTTCATAATATATAATATTAAAACACTTAAAAATTCCCCTTCAATATAATAAAGGCAATATTATTTCACACAAATCATTTTAGAAAAGATTATAAAATTATTTTACTCAATTGTTATAAATGATATATTATTTCTTGTTTGTTCAACCTTAATTTGCCCGATGAAACTCACCGTAATCACATTTAACTCTTTTCATAAAAATAAATTAATTCCTCTCTCATTTATATAGTTGTTCTGCATTATTGTGACAATATAAATCATTTGGCATTTAAGCGCTGTTTGGATGGGGTTGTAAAAAAATAATTTTTTATATTTGGTTATTTTAAAAGTATTTTTTACGAAAAGTAAAACTACTTAGATTTTTAAAAAGTATTTAAATTTAAAAAAAAAATTTAATTTTTGACTTCTATTTTTTTTTTAAAACAGACAAATATTTAACTTCCAAAAAATATAGACTTTTGATTTTTTTTATTTATATTTTTTTAAAATAGATATCCAAATAAATTTTATAACGAGAAATATTTTTTTCTAAAAATAATAATTTTTAAAGAAAAAAAAACTCTAAACTTGCCCTTTGTACTTTTCCAACTATCATTATCACCACATGATAATTTTTCAATTTTTCATCACCCTAACTCGAATGGCAGGCGTGATCTTCAGGTGCGCTCACTTTTCAGAACCAACAGCAAAAGCAAATATTCTTTCACTTTTATTTTTTTTATACTAGCTTTCAAATTATTTTTTATGAAAACAATTAAGTCTAATTTCGAACCATGCATAAACATAATAAAACTTTTCAAGAATTAGACAGTGTTATGCATAATAAAATTTGTATTATACAAAAAAAAAAAAAAAAAAGATGTACAAATAAGAAGACATGTATTAAGAATCATATTTTATCATCACCAGAATATAAGCAGTTGCAATGCTCATATCAATTTTAAAAAACTAGTTAAAAGCTATGTAGAGTTATTAGAAATTTTAATCATAAATATTATATTAAACCCTATTCACTGATGCAGAAGAATATTATATAAAAAAATGCATCGCCCGTGTAATAAGACAAAATATAAGCACAATTTTTCTTTATTTAATCTAATTAAAGGGAAAGGATCCACTTATCACTAATTAAGTTTGTCACTTTTTACCATCAAATTTTAATAGTTCATTTTCGTCAATTTGACGGTTATAATTTTTTGGATGTGACTTATTAATTAGTTATTATTTTTCAATAAATTTCAATCATCAAATTGACGGAAATCAAACGTTAAAATTTGATGATAAAAAATGATAAACTTAATTGGTGGTAAATATATATTTTTCCCTAAATAAATCTCTATCCGTGTGATAATATATATATATATATATATATTAGATTTTTGATTCATTAATTTTTAATTGCTTTAATTTAGTCTATTATAATTTTTTCCCGATTCTTCAAAACTTGTTTTTCCTAACTTTTCATTTAATAAGATAAACTGTTTAGTTTATTATACTCAGCATGAGAATTATTCTGACAGGACCTTGGATGCTATTATAAAATCTTCATAGTATGTTACTACTTCATATACATTTTCAAAGTAAGAAAGGGGAAAATGACATTAGGTGATTTATCATCCGGGAGATCTTCACATATCAAAGGATTAAGCGTTAAATTATAATAAATAAATCTGACACAATCTTTATTCAAAATTTTAAGATATTAAATATATGAATATTTTTAGTTATATATTCTCTCCTTATTTAATTTATGCATTCACATTTAAATACCACATCACAAATGTCATTTATTTAAATATATTAATACTAACAAACAATAAATTTAAACAAAACGGGAATAAATCAAAGTAGTGATGCCTGATCCCATTTTTTTAATCAACCATGGGTTCCAGTCAGTCGACCATGAATAACTAGTTGGATGTACTGCTAATGGGATATGATATGTGGCACCCTAATGGAGAATAATTGCTTAATGACTTACCTATATTCCATCGTAGGTCTATGTCATTCTCAAACGTGCCTTTCTCATGAAAAATATATATATAAATATTTTTTATAAAATAATAAAAATTGTACACATAACTTAATACAAATAATCTAAACCCCTTACCACTAGATCAATTATCTTAAAAAATATCGTAACATCTCTAAATGTAAAATATGTATAGGACGATGTCGCAGCTTGTTAAATGAATAATTTTTATCCTCAGATTTCTTTTATGTAGAAGATTTTTTTTTGCTTTAAAAAAACAATATGTCCGTATATTATGATTTCAGAGATT